CAACAACGTCTGAGCACGCCGAACCAACGTGCACGCGTGCACCGCCGAACACAAGGCTTTGAGCTTTGGATTGGTTTTTGATCCGTGGCCACCGGATAGACAAATAGTTAGAACCACGACGCTGCTGTGGACGGTACCTATCGTCCTCTTGTGGCGGTGCAAGATACCGCCAACAATGGAGTTACAAAAACAAAAAAAAAAAAAAAAGGTTTTTGTAAGGTTTGAAGCAAGATTCGTAAAATCGTAAAATTACTCCCAATTCATACATTTTACGAAAAATTAGGAAGAGTTGGCAGGTATGGGATCCAGCCAGGAATAGGAGGGGCAAACCAACCGGGAGCGAGCAGCTAGTGGCAAGGGTTGAACAACGGAGTCTGGCGTGCTCCGTGCAAGTCGACTCGGACGATAATCCAGATGAGTGTTTCAGCGACAACCAGACAAACAGTAATGACCCGAGGCCCTTGCGCGAATTCTCGGCGGTGACCCAGGGCACCTGCAGACGAGAAGCTGGAATGATAATTCACCGGCAGGAGCAACTCTTGGCAGCGACTTGAAGGAACCCACCCAACTATCTTTAATTCTGGCAGGTGCTTGAGGCATTGCCATTTTAAGATTGGTCAGTGCCCGCAAGAGGCTGAATCCAGGTGCCACTGTTAGAGCAGCTGGAATCGACGACCAAGCAGGTGAACAGCTGGTTTGCCGGAGCTTCAGGACGGTGACAAGACCAGTGACGAGAACCGGAAAATCAAGCCCACACAAACTGAGTATGATTCAAGTTTATTTGCACATTTGTATATATTTTTACCGTTTTCTAAATATACTTTCTTTAATCGTATAACGGTCCAGCCAACTCGTTTCTCATTTGATATGGTGAGAAGAGGGTCATTGTTCGTGTTGAGAGACTGCTTCATGCCTGTGAAGGCCTAGGTAGGTTGAAATAATCAAACGAGGTTCCACTGTTTCAGGAGGTATGCAGTCAACCCGCATTATTCTAGAAACAAATTTGAAGTTGCAAATTTTGTGATACTTCACAAGAGCATGCCAAAGCTTTGATAAGTGTCCCTAAAGTGCGACTATCTTATATTTCGCATATAACCGTGTGAAGGTCCTTCGCAAGCGAACCTGTGCGACTCCGCGGTACAGATTCGGCGTTGCAGTCTCCCGCGGTGCGGAACCCTTCCGACATGTCTCGGAGTTCAGCGAAGTTGGCTGCTATCGTAGGCAGTTTATCGGATGTGCGCTTCTCGCGGTCGAGCACCAGTCTAAACAACTGTTCGTGTGGGACTGGTTCAGCTGGTCTGGCATTGTACGTATGTACCTTCCGAACACGACATTTCACGTTTTAAATGCAGACAAGTCTATCATCTTTTCTCCAGCTAGGCTTAAAGGCTTCAGTAGCTCGGCGTACAATACAAACAGTATCGCCTCCATCAAACTGACACTGGCATTCTGGAGTGCGGCGTGTTTCAAAGCGCGGAGATGCTCGAGACTATAAAAATACAATGACATAAACTAGAAACCACAAACCTTTGGAAAAGAAGCCCGCGCGCACATCAGCGTAAACACGTCTGTCCACGTCGGCTGGGCCATCTAGGCCGTGCAATCGGTGCAATCGCATCTTTGGGCGTCATTTACTGCTAGCGCAACGACTTTTGTTTCTAATTAAAAGTATCGCGAACTATTTTAACCCTTATTGCAACCCGCGCAACTGCCTATTACAGTGAATTTGTAATTAAAACAAAACAAAAATAAAAAAAAAAGCTGCTGCCGCTAAAGAGAACAGCCAATGACGTCATAGTCACGTGGACCAATAGGAGCCGACATAGTTTTGTTTTGTTTGTTTTTGTTTTTTCCTTGGCTCCGCCCCCCTGTACTGGGTAGGATTTCAAAATACGCATCCCGGAGTGGTTCCGCAGCGAGACTCTGGCTGTGATAGCCCAGAACAGCTAGCCTACGCAACACTGCCATGGCGTGGGAAGGGCGATCCGCAGGCCTGGACACGGGCTCCGGCTGTGAGCTCTGAACGACGGGCGACAACCAGGGTCGGCGGGTTCGGAGTGCCGGCTCTCGAAGACGGGCAACCGGGATGTACAATAAACCCATCCGCTGCCCTCCTGTTGTATTGTGTCACTTCCTGGGAGCAAGCGAAGCACGGACCGATTCGGCGGCCACAAGTAGTGAAGACAACTCAAACTGGTGTCCAAATGACGACTCTACAATATTCTCTCAGCACTTGGACCTAGCAAGGCTCCCGATTAAAAAACCGCATAAAAGAACCAGGGACGCAGGTACACACGGGGACTGCTGAAATCGGGGTCGCCGCCGCTCTCAACGGCCCGACGGGAAAACTGGCCGCCCCATTAACAGAGACGCCTCCGCTTGTGGCGCTGAATGCAGTCGCTCTCGTGGCGCCGCCTGGCCATTGCCGGCTGCCTATTCCTTGGGCGTCGCCGGCCAGTGTTTGCACTGCCCAGTGGCGGCTGTTTCAGGGGGGGGGGGGGGGGGGGCAAAACACACACCCTGCCCCCCCACTCTGAGAACTGGGGGGGCAAGCGCCCCCCCCCCCCTTCCCCCCCCCCCCCCCCCCGGTTGGTATGCCAATGACTGGGAATGTAATTTGAAAGAAAAAGTTTAAGGCAGAATGAAGGGGACAAGACAACGCCTCAAACTCAGCTCTGGGAAGGAAATTTGAAAGAAAAAGTGTAAGAAGACAGAAACAAGCGGACAGGACAACGTCTTAAACTCAACTCAGCTGCAAACTCAGCTCAGGACAACGTCTCAAACTCAACTCAGCTGAGTTTGAGAAGTTGTCCTGTCCCCCTTTTTTTTTCTTCTTCTTACAAAATTTCTTGCGAATTTCATTCCCAGTCTCGCGATTTTGCATCATGATCAACATACTGCACTTGCACCTGAACAATTTTTGTTTGTTTGTAATTGCTTTGGAGGTTTATTTTCTGGGGCGGAAGAAACGCCGAGCAAAAAGCACAGAAACTGACGCAACTTGAGGTCGAGGAGCGTTCTACTATACCAGTGGCGTCGGAAGAGGGAAAACGGGGGGAGGGGGGGGGGGGGGGCTCCAGTCTCTCCCCCCCTCCCATATTTTTCGGACTGTTAAAGAAAACAACACGGGGAAAGAGGATATGGTCGAGCTTATTTTAATCTGAAATTATTTATGCATATGTATAGCTACTGTCGCTCTTCACTGCATAAAAGATCGCGTAGATGGTCATTGTTAGAAACTCGTTGTCAGAAGGCACTACTCGTCACATGCTCGGTGGCTCGAAAGTTCAAAGCTATGTCTTTTCAACCTAAATAATTGTGCCATTGGTAAACAATAATCAATAAATAAACCATAACAATAAATGCAAAACTAAAAAGCTGGAAAGAAAAAAAAAAACTGTCAAGAACCCGCCGGAAGTGTTGTATTCTTTCATATTCAGAGGCCCAGAACTATGAAACAAGTTTCTCCTACCAAAATTTGTACAGGCCAAAAGAAACACGTCCCAAGAACGTAAAATGAGAGAGAAAAATTTTTTTTATGACGTGCTGAATTTGAACAATTTTATAAATCTTCCCCATGAGTTAATAATTATTCCTCAACGTAAAAAAAACAATAAGCGCATTATTTTCTATTCTTCCGATGGTAATATTATGTACTGTCTCTGGTGTTAATTTAAATGCGATGCCTCAATGTAGGCGAAAAAAAAAAAACGAAGTTTAGGGCATAATTGCCCGTAGGTACACGTTGGGATATTTCTTCGAAACTCGTCTTGAACAACGGTAATCATATCTTAAGACGACACTTACTGAGGCTATAAATAAATCATTCTTAAAATGATTAACATCTCTACCATCTCGGTCGGAAACCAATAAGATGCCACTGCTGCATTTCTTCGTGGTGTTATTATTCCCACCACCCTCCATCACATTCCACAAACAACCTAGTAGGGAACATCGTCTGCTCCCGGATGCCATATTTGACGTCACGAGTGCCGCTGCCCGTTGTTGCCAGTAGAGCGGCAGCTTCGAACGTGCACGCGTGAACTTTAGAAATAAATTTCTCGAGAGGAAATGAATATTTTGATTAAATATTTTGGAGACATGCTCACGGGTGGACATTTAATACAAGGTGAACATTTTATATTAAAACAAATAATAATCTGGCGTTTTTTTCTGAAGTCCCCGATTTGCCTGAAAATATGCTAACGCACCAACAGACATCGCTGAAATAGTAACCCAAATATTGCTCAAAAATATTTTTTCGTAAAGTTGTTGAATTTACAGTTTTGATCCTCACTGTGCACTTTAAAGTTTCTCTAGTGCAACTACAAAAAAGCGACTTGGGGGAAGGCAGGGGTTCGCCTTTTAGATTGTTGACGTTGTTCCCAATTGATTACAACCAGCTTTATGGTGTCAAATGAAGGCTTTAGAAGCTTGCTACACCACCCGCCAGCAGCACGAAACAAATGCTCGGCATAGTAAAATTTTACGCCGCATTTAGGCTGCATTCACATTGGCGTTCGAATTGCAACCGCGAAGCGGATCAGCTCGTTTTCATCAACTGCGCGAGCTTCGCGGATGCGGTAGAGTGGCAATGTGAATCCGGTTCAGCCGCCAGTGTGACACTGGCGGCTGAACCTCATTCGGAAAGGGGTTGCGAACGTGGTTACTTCAAGGTGCATCAAATACACGCGCATTTGATTATGAAAACGAGCAGATTCGCTTCGCGGTTGCCATTCGAACGGCAGTGTGAATGGAGCATTAGACTGCCCGCTCGGCCTGCAAGCCTGCCCTCCACTGACGTCACGGCCCTGTAAAGCGCCGGTATACTTGGATGTTGATTTTGGCATCATTTTCACTTGCGGATTTCACAGTAACTATTCTGAATTTCGTGATACTAAATAGTATACCGGAAAGGGTAAGGCCGGTGATTCCGAAACTGCAGCTAGTTGGGGTAGCTAAAAAATCGCCGGGTACCCACGCAATGAAATAGCACCTGCTCACGCAATCACCCCGAGATCTTTATTGAATATTGTTGCACATTTACAAACGACTTCTATTAATAGCTTTCCAATTGTATGCTGCGACAAACTCCATATTTTAGACATTGCTGGTATTGTTACGAACACAAAGTATCGCCGCCACGCTCATATTCATGTGAAGGGCACACCGAAGAAATGCACAGATCAGAAACACGCAGGGACTTTTTCTCAAGGTTGCTGAATGCTGAAAAACACCGGGCTTCTTTCCCCATCTTGTGGTAGGGCATCACTCGTGTCTCTATCACATTTGAAGTCTACTTCGTCAGGCTGGGGACACTGTCACAGGAGGTGGAGAAGTTGGGGTGATCTCTCCGTCTTTGGTGGCTTCTTGGGGCTTCCTCTCCTTGCGGCACATCATGGCAGACCGCAGTTCCTCCAGAAGGGTGTTCCAGATGGTGCTCTGCAAGATTCAAGTTATCTTCAGTTTTGAAGTGGAGGCGCCCAGAGTTGCGATCAAAGCAATAATTATTTCCTTTGTTTTCAAACAAACACGATGTTGGGGGAGAGAAAGGAGAAAAAAAAGTTGTTTACAAATAGCTTGACTGGTTTCTAGCTCCCCAAAAATGCAGCAGCACTTGAGCATGTCTTCAAATACAAACTAATGCATTTGACAAGTAACAAAAAAAAAAAAAACAACCAAAAAACAAAAACCCAACTTTCTTATTAAATATGCACACTAAACACGTAAAAAGAAAGAAAAACTTCTACAAAAAGTTGCCGTTTGAATTATACGATAAGTTTAGAAAACATCACGTACATCACTCACTGACATGTTAGTAATTTCCATATTTCCGACGCTAACCTGGTTCAGAATGGTCGGAAGAGTATATGTTAATGTCATTTGTTCTAATACATGGCGCTTCCCACGGTTCCGTGCTTCGTGTCAGATATGTGTTCACTTTTTTCGTTCAATCAGCCAAGTTTTCGAGGTAGCGACGGTTCATATATATAAATACATTTTTTTTTATACCTAGCACATAGGTGGTATTTGTTCAAATCATGAATTTTCGTTATACGAAGTTCATAAGGATATTTTCTGTTCCACATTCAGTTGCATCATAGCGAATGCTTCGCAGTATCTTTTTCTGTGATATGGAATGTTTTTGAACGTTCGTTCCAGTGGTCGTGCCCCATACTATGCGATTAGAATCTATAGGCATATAAAATAATAAATAATATATGAGTAACTTCATGTTAAGTGGCAGAAATTTTCTGTACCGACATCTTAAGATAACTATACCGGATAATTTGGACAGAACATACTTAATGTGATCGTCCACGACATAAACTTTGTGAAAAAACAACAAGGTTTTAAACGCTGCAACTAATTCTACTTTAAAATGATTAAAAAGTATATCCGTGGTTGTGTCAGCATGCTTTGTTTTCAGCCGAAGTATAGGACTGCCTTAAGGAGTCTGCAATACTCTGAGGTCGAAGGTAGAAAACGCGGCATAGTGCAGCGCATGCAGGTACTGATTGGTCGCAGATATCGAGTTCCTTCCAGCCGGTTAATGGAAGGCGCACGTCCTGCGCTACGCTGCGTTCACTGCGCCCAACGTCGGAGTATAGCAGAGCCTTTAGTCTCACTCAAGTTTATTTTGAAAACATTTTTTTGCTCCATACGATACCAATCCCTTTAAGTGTTTTATTTCCATATTTTATAAGTTACGTGGCGTGACCACCGGTCCAAAATAACCTAGTGCCGTCGGCATATATAATAAATATTGTTTGGCTTAGGTTTACATTATCGTTTATATACATGTTGAATAAAAAAAGTCCCAGAATACTTCCACGAGGAACGCCTGATCAAATGTTACTGTGTCACGGATGGATTACCATTCATCTTAACGTATTGCCTCCTGGAAGAGAAATATACATTAATAAGTAGTGCCTCCTGTCCACAGACGGCGCATATGCCTAACTTTAAAAACAGCAAGTCATGATCAAGTTAACAAAATGCCTTTGTAAAGCCTATAAATAACCCAACAGTTATTTTTCCATTTTCACAATTTTAAGATATATTATCTTTTTTATTATTATTTTTTTTTTTGGGCAAGAAGTGCAAGTTTTGTAGACCGTTGATTACGGAAACCAAATTGGGATGAACTTATTAAGTCATGTCTTTCTGCTTATGCTTCGACTCGTAAAATAAAAAAAAAATAATAATTCAAGGTTATTAGAAAACGCTGGAAATATTGAAACTGGTCTGTAATTACCTAGGTCATTTGTATTACCTTTCTTAAATAAAACTGATACCTTTGCCAGCCGCATCTGCTTCTAACGCGATAGGGTCAAGGAGCCCGTGTCGCAGAAAAGCCGGCGTCGGTGTCGTGCGCTAAAATCCAAGGTTGGTCGATAGGGTCATTAACATCACCGCCACATGGCCTCGCGCGAAAATTTCAAACAACCCACAACGCTCACGTAAAACGTGACGTCAGGCGTTGAATGAAAGTGACTAAAAACATGACATGTAATGCGAATTAAATATACCAGCACGTCTCAAATGATTTCGCTTTATAAATTTATTCACAGTAATTCATTCGAGATCAATTCGAAGATTTTTTTGGGGCGGGATTCGAACCCACAACCTTCGGTCACGCAAAGCACTCTTGCACGGTTTAGGAACGAGCGAGAGTCTATATGACATATTTCGCTGATTTAATCTGCAAGCCATTATAGTCACCACATTTAGTGTGTTTTAATACATAAAACACGGATATTACTTCCGTATCGATACCTGGGTTGAGAAACATAGATTCACTGTTTCGGAAATTTATAAAGTTGCAAGCATCGGGCTCGGCCTTTTATTTAGCCAAATTAACAAAATGTTCACTGAATGCGTTTGTTAATGCTTGTCCTGTAATTTCCTTCCACTCATAGTTTATCCTTTCCACTCTACTTGAATCGTGAGTGCGGTTTAAGACATAATTTATCTTTTTCCATACTACCTCTGTCCTATTTACACAGGCCTGGAAAAAATCACGCAAATATTTCGCACGAGAATTCCTAACTTCTTTGTTACGTTGGTTGCAAAAACGTTTAAAAACGACACGTTTTTCAGCCTTTTTTGTTTTTACAAATATTTGATATAATGCATGGTTACGGGTTTTCTTCGATGTCCTTAGTGATCTATATAAAAAACAGCTTTCATACACTTTTTTAAGATTTGGCTAGAACACGCCTTACGGATTATTTGCATAGAAGGACATCACTCCAGCCTCTGTAGCATAGTTGACGTCTAAAATTGCTTAGGTTATCTTGCGTAATTTTCTTGTATTTTAGTAATGTCTGCTATTTATGGGTTCTTACAATATGTTTCTTTAAGCACAAGAAAATACCAAAGTGACCTTTTATAACAGTAATTATAACACCATATTCCGCTTGTGACGCACCAAGACTGGTAATAAACATATGAAGTAAAGCAGTAGATTCGGTAGTGATTCTAACTGTTGAAGTTATAGCATTCAAACACCCACTTGCTTTACTAGACAACTAGACACATTATTTAGAATTTTAGATGACGTTTCAATTCGTATATTTAGATTAAAGTTATGTCCTAAGACTACAATCTGTGGGCTTTCATTCGGGAACTCGAAGAAAGATTCCAAATAGCAAAAACGATTCCGAGTAAAAAAACGGCAATATACCAAGTAAGAAATCAAAGAAAAAAAGATTCCAGGTAAGCAAAACATGAGCCATTCCACACTGTGAAGGTAGATGACCAGCGAAGCTCTTTAGCACACGACACAAACGTGACACAAATTTTTGAACAAAGGAACGAACTATCGCCACCCCGAAAACCGGAGGAAACTAGACACGCGCGACGGGACCGCCACCCGGCAGAAAGTAGACACACGCGACCGGACCGCCACCACGGGAGAGCGGAAGGAAAAGAAACTAGGCACGCAAGCGCTTGGAACGAGGACAAAGAGAGGGCGGTGCGAGCATCGACATGGCCGACGCGGGTGGCACAGTGGCAAACCACTGAGAAATCTTTATTATCTACCTGAGACTTTACTGATCTTGAAAATGGTGCCTATTGATTACTAATCTACTAAAATGCATATCCAAGTGATGAAACGTATAAGCTTTTGCATAGAATGAAGCGATTTTGCAAAAAATTTGGGACCTGAGTTTTCGTCGAGGCACACAAAAAATACACGGAAACCTAACCATAATCAGCTTCGCTCTAAAAAAAATTTAAAGATTCACAACTTATATTCCGGTGGGCGATAAAGAATATTCGTCAAGGTAGAATATTTCCGATATTTGTATGTGCGTGTGTTAAAAGTCAGACCTTTTTTATATTTTCTTTCTGCGTGATTATGTAGGAATCTAGAAAATATAAAAATAAGTGGACGTACGAAGGTAATGCCGATAGTATCTGACACGGTGAGAGCGGCAGGGATGGAGCTTCCACTTTCCCTGTAGTGCGAGCGTCCTGCCTCCTACGACGTTTAGGCGTCTTGTACACCTGGAAGGTGCGCGCGCGCAGCCAAAACACAAGGAAAGGCACGGAGCGCGTGCTGGACGCCGGGCGTTCGAAAGACACGCCGTGCCATTCTTAATCTGTCGGTGATTGTAGGGGACCTGCTTTTCTAAAGCCAGTTATGGTGCCTGGAATGCGTCCTCTGCGGAGAGCGAGTTCTCTGCTTCTGTTCGAACGGGGCTTTCTCTCCTTGTTCTTACTATGTATGAAGGGAAAACTGCAAAAGCCTTGTTTTACATATTTTATGTTTCACGAACCGTGTTAAAAGGGATTTACAAGGTGACAACCATGCTAAGATGACCCACCTGTAACCTTGTAGTGGTAATGTTGTATGAACAATATTGGTGTTAAAACCGCTCCTTGGAGGCCCGCATCCCAGAAGCAATAACATAACTAGATGAGGAATATGACAGACGCATCACAGCTGCAGGCAGCGTTTCATTGGGAGTTCTGCCAGGGTCCTAAAAAAGCGCAGTCTGCTTAACGAAATGCCAGCAGCCACTCGGAGGCTCGCGGGAGATTCCTTTTGCAGTGTCAAAGTGGTGAAGATTGAGCATACATTACTTTTAATGCGAAAGCATTACCTGTCCCATGGAGCGGAGCCGGCGGCGTCTGTAACCGCGAAAAACGGCACCTAAATTGGCTGCGACGCGTCACATCTGATGCTTTGTCACAGAAGACGGCGCGGCCGCTCCAGGTCAAAGCGGACGCGATTCGGAAATAAAACACAAAGAAAAGCACAGCGACGCAGATGCCTCGTCACGGAAGCCTGTGGGTGCGCTCAAGGTCAAAGCGGACGCGCCTCGGAAATAAAACACAAAGAAAAGCACAGCAACGCAGATGCCTCGTCACGGAAGCCTGTGGGTGCGCTCCAGGTCAAAGCGGACGCGCCTCGGAAATAAAACACAAAGAAAAGCACAGCAACGCAGATGCCTCGCCACGGAAGCCTGTGGGTGCGCTCAAGGTCAAAGCGGACGCGCCTCGTAAATAAAAGACAAAGAAGAGCACAGCAACGCAGATGCCTCGTCACGGAAGCCTGTGGGTGCGCTCAAGGTCAAAGCGGACGCGCCTCGGAAATAAAACACAAAGAAAAGCACAGCAACGCAGATGCCTCGTCACGGAAGCCTGTGGGTGCGCTCAAGGTCAAAGCGGACGCGCCTCGGAAATAAAACACAAAGAAAAGCACAGCAACGCAGATGCCTCGTCACGGAAGCCTGTGGGTGCGCTCAAGGTCAAAGCGGACGCGCCTCGGAAAAAAAACACAAAGAAAAGCACAGCAACGCAGATGCCTCGTCACGGAAGCCTGTGGGTGTGCTCCAGGTCAAAGCGGACGCGCCTCGGAAATAAAACACAAAGAAAAGCACAGCAACGCAGATGCCTCGTCACGGAAGCCTGTGGGTGCGCTCAAGGTCAAAGCGGACGCGCCTCGGAAAAAAAACACAAAGAAAAGCACAGCAACGCAGATGCCTCGTCACGGAAGCCTGTGGGTGCGCTCAAGGTCAAAGCGGAGGCGCCTCGGAAATAAAACACAAAGAAAAGCACAGCAACGCAGATGCCTCGTCACGGAAGCCTGTGGGTGCGCTCAAGGTCAAAGCGGACGCGCCTCGGAAATAAAACACAAAGAAAAGCACAGCAACGCAGATGCCTCGTCACGGAAGCCTGTGGGTGCGCTCCAGGTCAAAGCGGACGCGCCTCGGAAATAAAACACAAAGAAAAGCACAGCAACGCAGATGCCTCGCCACGGAAGCCTGTGGGTGCGCTCAAGGTCAAAGCGGACGCGCCTCGGAAATAATACACAAAGAAAAGCACAGCAACGCAGATGCCTCGTCACGGAAGCCTGTGGGTGCGCTCAAGGTCAAAGCGGAGGCGCCTCGGAACTAAAACACAAAGAAAAGCACAGCAACGCAGATGCCTCGTCACGGAAGCCTGTGGGTGCGCTCAAGGTCAAAGCGGACGCGCCTCGGAAATAAAACACAAAGAAAAGCACAGCAACGCAGATGCCTCGTCACGGAAGCCTGTGGGTGCGCTCCAGGTCAAAGCGGACGCGCCTCGGAAATAAAACACAAAGAAAAGCACAGCAACGCAGATGCCTCGCCACGGAAGCCTGTGGGTGCGCTCAAGGTCAAAGCGGACGCGCCTCGGAAATAAAACACAAAGAAAAGCACAGCAACGCAGATGCCTCGTCACGGAAGCCTGTGGGTGCTCTCAAGGACAAAGCGGAGGCGCCTCGGAAATAAAACACAAAGAAAAGCACAGCAACGCAGATGCCTCGTCACGGAAGCCTGTGGGTGCGCTCCAGGTCAAAGCGGACGCGCCTCGGAAATAAAACACAAAGAAAAGCACAGCAACGCAGATGCCTCGTCACGGAAGCCTGTGGGTGCGCTCAAGGACAAAGCGGAGGCGCCTCGGAAATAAAACACAAAGAAAAGCACAGCAACGCAGATGCCTCGTCACGGAAGCCTGTGGGTGCGCTCAAGGTCAAAGCGGACGCGCCTCGGAAATAAAACACAAAGAAAAGCACAGCAACGCAGATGCCTCGTCACGGAAGCCTATGGGTGCGCTCCAGGTCAAAGCGGACGCGCCTCGGGAATAAAACACAAAGAAAAGCACAGCAACGCAGATGCCTCGCCACGGAAGCCTGTGGGTGCGCTCAAGGACAAAGCGGACGCGCCTCGGAAATAAAACACAAAGAAGAGAACAGCAACGCAGATGCCTCGTCACGGAAGACTGTGGGTGCGCTCAAGGTCAAAGCGGACGCGCCTCGGAAATAAAACACAAAGAAAAGCACAGCAACCCAATGCTTCGTCACGGAAGCCGTTGTAAAGCCGGTAAGGTTCGCCGCGCCTGCGTATTGGGGGGAGCGTGACGTCACCGCCGCAGCGCCGTGCGGGATAGGAAGACGTACGTGGCGTTTTGCTTGCAGGAATGCGCTGCGTGTAGGAATTTTTTCACATTCCTACATGTAAGCCGTCTTAAGAGCTGCGTGTAGGAATGCTTTCACATTCGTACACATAAGCCGTCCTAAGTATCTCTGCCGAATTTTTTATAACAAAAATATAATAAAGATGACAAGAGAGGCAATGAAATTCTGTTTAAGGAAAAAACATTTGTCACTTTTAATAAAAAAAAACACGGGATATTTCTATATATCCGCCCATAAATACTAAACAGTGTTAGTGGACCGTACGCAAAACCTCTGCGTACGCATAGATATTTTGGGCCTGGAGTGCGCATGCGCGGAACGCAATAGAAGGGCTCGTTTTCCGAACGAATCGTACGCACGCAATGCTGGGGATTTTGCGTTGCGGGCTAGTGGGCTTTGCGGGAGCTCTCGCGAGATCTTGGTCCCAGCGAAAGCACGAGTTTCAAGATTGTGATTACCTCGACTGGCACAGCATGAGCGACGTAGTGTTCGCGGAGTTCAGTGCTACGTGAAGTTGCCTGGTGTTCAGCAGGGGAATTATTCTCGGAACCTACTTCAGTCGAGTCATATTGCCGTGCAGCTGAAGGAGTGCGTAGTGAAAATGTTTACTGATCTGCTCTATCTATGCTAAGCCTCTTTCGCACGGTTCATTTCCGATGCAACATACGACTCTCAAAAAAAAAAAAAAAAAAAAAAAACCCAAATTGTTTTTGTGCAATGGGCATCAGTAGGTCATAAGTTTCTTCCAGCGGTAGCAATGACAAAAGGGGCCGTTTCCACGGGATGATTGACGGAGGCACCGTGATCGAATGTGGCTCCGCACTCGTGCTCGTAGCCTCCGTACGCATGGAAAAGCGCTTGACCAGGCAGCTGCTGCTCGTTAATTTGAAATAAAATGATTGAAAACTTTTTTTGCAATCCTTAGAAGAGCATGGTGGCGCCGTAAGCACGCGGAATTATACGGCTCTGGCAATCGAATCAAGATCGCACGAGATGACCCCTCGGCAACGTTTACGGAACGCACAACTAAAATTGGTCCGAGCCGCGGTATTTCTTAGTTTAAGCTGTACTAGTGCGTATTACGCTATAATAAAACTGTCTACAATTTCTGTCTTCTTTCCCCTCGATTTGTCTGGAGACTACGTGGGAAAATTAAGCGTTTAACATTTTAAATAAAGCCCGTCACGCCATCTTCGGGACGGACTTTAGATTTAAGATCAGTTTATTTATTGAAACTATGCATTATGCTCGAAAGTGAGGATCCTCGTTTATAAGTGATGTGCCCTAAAACAAGAGCATGGGGCTGTGTGGGGGCGCAGGTGACCAAGAAATTGCGTACCATGGACTCGGCCGTGACGTCCCTCTTGCTGTGGCCGCGCACGAAGATGACCAGCATGATGACCATGGTGATGAGCAGTCCCAGGAGCAGGAAGATGAAGACGAGGCTGAGGCGTCCGAAGCGGACCGTGAACGGCGTCGGCCGGTACACGTGCTCCTCCGGCGGGCAGTTGGCAACGTTGTGGTCCTCCCACCAGTACTGCCGCAGCAGCTGGAGCGTCCCGTCAAACTTGAGTCGCGTGATGGCCGCCGACAGCTCGGACTGGTACGGGCTCCCTGCTCGGAGTAACGGCAATGCCATCAGCGAGCTGAAAGGCCGACCACCAGACTCGAGATTCTACCAGGCAGAAGATCCCCCTCACCCTGAGGGAGGAGGAAACATGCGACGGTGGACAGGGTAGAAGGGAGAGAGGAGGAAAGGGGGAAGTGGAGAGCGCGAACTGGTCGTCGGTTTTGAAGTGCAATCTTCTCTACCCGCGGGGCAGGAGACGATGCGATATTTTGAAGGTTGGAAAAGGCTCGGGGGTATGCATACTAATGGATAGGGTGCGCGCTAAGTAAAAAGGCGAGAGCACGGGAGAAACAGGCAGTGGCGATTGAACTACGGTGACTGGAACGCGCCTTGAAGTGACAACAAATGACGTCACGGAAGCCGCCTTGTCATGCTGTCGGATGTCGCGATTCCGACGGTTGGTACTCCAAGTATTGGCAAGAAGTACGTGCGAACAGGAGTGTCGTTGTCATCGCGGCGTGCTAGCAGGTGGCTGCTGAAGCTTCCGTGGACTGTCACATGGGAAGCGACATGAAGTAGAACAGGCGTCTGTCAGATCAATTATTGCTGCTGTGACACAGCCAAGATTACGGCCGACAACAATATGACACTTCTATGACGTCACCAGGCGGAATTCGGGGGACCACTTTTTAAGTCGCGGCAAACACACCAGTCGGGGACGGGTTCTAGGCACTACATTTGAACCTAAAGTCCCTCGATAAAACTAATCGTTCGATTCTGTTCCTTATAACTACTGTATATCGACAATCATTGTTGTTCAAATGCGCGAGACGGTGCCCCGAGCGAGTGATGCGCCGCCAGTTTCTTCAAAGTGCCACGCAGAACGCCGGCCTCGCGCATTGGTGCATTTGATTCAGCTTGTAATTGAAACACAAATACATCAAGGGGCTTTGTTAAACCCGGTCCCGCGATTCAATGAAAATCAGTTAAGTATATTTTTTCCAAAAGGGTGTTAACCACCTTAGTATCGTCCTTGGCTTGTCGCCTAACGGAGACATCAACGCTAGAAAACTAAAAGTTAAAGAGGTTGCTATTGCTTGTCTTTCTGATAAAGTCAACGAAGCGCAGTTCTGGTACCCTTTAGGGAACGCACACATTTACATCACTGCTGGGCGCGTGTGGTCACCAAACAGTCAAGTAGAGACAATTCTTGGTTTGAACTAGAGGGGCGGTCATAGCATGTGGATACGTGGAGCAAACGAAGTTGAGTACTAGCTGCCCAGACAGCACACGTTCTGGCACTTTGGGTGGCTGACTTTCAGTAGCTCCTGCGAAAGTTATTTAGCAACCCCACATCATTCTGGCATTGTGATTTTTACTGAGGTCTTTTATGCCCTCGATAAGGGTCAAGCTTTTGCATGATATTTGAAGCTATAGTTTGATCTCCTTTTGTTTTCTAAGCTGGAAAATTTACTAGGTAAACTTCAAGATATGTATAATCGAGCCTTGAGCGTCCTCTGTGAAGCCTCTCATAGAAGAATTTATAATATGCACTCTTTTATGTATATAAGAAAAGAAACGATAACAAAAACAAAAGTAAAAATGCGACGCATCCTTTAGAAGCTTTTGAGCGTGGTGTTTTCTCTCACGGAGCGTCATGTTGCGGAAAAGTACGCATACGATTCACGAGGACGGCGCGAAGTCTGTTTTGCAACCGTTACAGCAATATACCCGTTCGCTAAATTACCCATACACGAGGGAGCACGATGCGAGTGTATCCACACGCTTTGCACCTGCTGGGGTTTCCAGCAGAAACTGTTCCAAAGCAAAATCCTAGAATAAATGGCCCTTTACACTTGATAACGATGCAATTAGTGCGAGGGTACAAGCGAGCCGGACAGTGATAAAGAAAATAATCCCTGAAGAAGGGGAACAAGGGGTACAAAGGACACACACAAATATCCAAACACAGCTCTGTTTGGTTCATTTGTGTTTGTCCTCTGTCTCCATTCCTCTCCTTCTCCACGGATTATTATCGTTATACTTTACACGTTCGCGTCATGGGCTTATCTTGATTACTTATTCAAGTTCCTTTTTTCTTTTTAAACACACAAGGCGAGCGCATCCAGCGCGTCTACCTACATGCCAAACCTTCTCCTTGGTGCGGGGTAATTTTGCAAAGGACTATTACCTTCCATGGGATAAACAGGTCATCGTACATAGGAAAATATAATGAGTGGAATTCTTTTCTGCTTTGTTTTTGCTTTTCAGCAGTACTCTCTTCATGCGCTAATTACTTTATATTTTTCCAGGAGAGTGTAAGAGAGGAGCACTTCTATCCTCATCGGTTATTGTAACAATCTTCTAACATAATTTTCTCGATATCAATGTAGCGCTTACAATTAGAAAGCATCTGATCTAGCTGGAAGTTATTAGTGGTAACACGCTTTGTACATGGAACTAACTTTCACGCTGTGTTAACGACTAGTAGCACCTATTCAGAGAGTTTACAGCCATGACCAAAGTATGCTATAATGACAGGACCAGCTAGTTCTATGCACATGCAACGAGGTTGTGCCAAAACAAAAAGACTGTTTTGATGGTCGCCATGTTGCCTCACCGCATGTCGGCGTTAGACGCTAAATTTAGCTGATTGTAGTCTTCTGCTTCCCCCTGTCAACTTTTCTTTTTACTCTCTTCAAAAGCCAGCTTAAAAAACAGTCATTAGGAGGAAGGAACTCAAAAGAGCTTACGCGGAAAGTAATAAGAAAACAGCAGAATGTACAGTACCAAAGCCAAGCTGAAAGGCTATAAAACTAAACGCTGTTGGTCACCGGATTGAAAAGAGATAGAAACAATACTGATGTGATAGCTAAGATCCTGGGTTCTGCAGCGGGAGCGAAAGCTCACGCTGCAGAACCGAGGATCCTGAGTTCAATCCCCGCCCCCGCCCGTTTCGATCTGGATGAGCATCGTACCGGCGTACGGTAACGTATCACTACTGCGTGAGCACATTAAAGACCCCAGGTTAGCGGTTGTACCGCACTGGCTAAATTACTCATCTACAGCTGCGACACCAGACGCCCACTGAGGCAGACTAACTTCCGGCTGTATAAACATACACACAACAATACCTATAAGATGTATGTTTTCAAAGTATACGTAGATATTACTTTCACAGTCATAACGATCGCGTCCTCTGCCGCTTGGTTTATGTTAGCACGTGGATTTAAGTTGAACTTTCTCTATAATTTTGAGCAGAAAACTTTTACTGCCTATTGATTTCCACCACCGTTAATATTCAACACTAACGTGTTTAGACTGTTAGACTCGCTACAGTTGTACAAACACCTCGTTTTAAAAGTCCGGGAATAAACAAAAAATTTACAGTGACTTTTTTAAAGCGTACATGGGTGGTGCTGAGATGTGATGGTTTTCTAAATCGCGTATATATAGGGTGTTGGTTTTTGATTTAAACATAGTAAAAAAAAGGAGTGAGAGTTTGACGACTGTTATCTTCAACATGTAGTTAACAGGCTCAGCGGACAATTGATGAGGGGCTACTCGTCGTGGTAAGTTGGCTAATTAACTTATATATATATTAATTAACCTCGTAAGTTTTGGGTTTCGTAGTCATGTCACAATTGCAGCGTTGATGGCAATTAGTAATAAAGGTCAGAACAATTAAAATAATTTGCAAAAAAGAATTTTTTTTAAATATATTAATTGATACATTTTAACGTTTTTTAGCCTGATTTAAATATCGCGCGCAATAAGAGCGCCGCAAGCTCTGTCCACAATAACGTTTGGAAGAGTGACGTAGTCGTTTAACTCATGTCACTATTTGGGCAGGCCCTTGGCGCGTGCGCCGACGACACAAGAGTCGACGTGGTTGGAACGACTCCATCGCTCTTTTCAGCGTCATTGTGGGAGGGCTTGCGGCGCTCTTTTTGAGCGGACATTTTAAATCGGGAGAAATATTTATAAATTGATTGTGAATTTCTCAAGAACTATTACACTCTGCGAAATTATTTTATTTGATCTGGCCTCTAACGGTAGTAGCCGTTAATGCTGAAATTAGAACATGACCTACAAAACCAATAATTACACTGTTAATTAACAGATTTTAGTTAATTTGCGAACCTACCATGACGATCACCCCCTTCTAATGTTCGCCGAGCCTTATAAATATACGGTGATGACGGCACTCTTCTTATTTTCACCCCTTCTTTAGATATCTGTTCGAATTAAAATGAAGTACCTTGTATAACACAAAATTCTAGGGCTTTCACTAGACTCGCGTGCCATGATGACGTTGCAGGACCTGGTCACGTGTCAACATGACGTCACTTTGTCGCTGGCCGTCACCTGCCAGATTTACTAGGCCTACGCCCCGCTATATCTAATAGGACGTGACGTCACGTGGTCTCGCATGTACGATCTCTTCGTATCTCTACATCTTTTTTCAGAATCATACTGAAGTCCAAACCCAGATTCTCCCTTAATATAGATAGGTACACCAATCAAATAAACGCTTGCAAACGTTTTGTGCACAGTTCTTGAACACAAGACGGTAACTATGTCTAACTGAACAAATCTACAAAGCAGTCTATCTTATAGTCATATAAGGCCGTGCCAAATGCAATTGGACAAGCTCATGCCGTTAAGTGTTGAAGTATACCTATAAATGCTATATTTCGATATCTAACACTGTTCAGGATTAATATTGTCGTCGTCACAATGAATGGTGGCGAAGTTCCTACAAGACAGTAATTGAATAGCAGTCTCACCCTTGGGCAGTGCCAGGGCGTATCCTCCGGAGCCCATGATATCGCCCACTTGCTCGATCTCGCAGTAACGGTTCTCGAGGTATTCCAGGACGGGCGACTCGAGGAACATGGCGTAGTTTCCGCCGATGACGCGTTCGATGCCCTCGTAGTAGTTGTCCACGAAGGCCTCGTCTCCTTGGCTCTGCATGCCCTGCCACAGCTCCATGTATTTCGGGAAGGTCGATTTCTGGAAGACGAAAACAACCTTGGTTTCTTTCGTGAATCAAATAACCAGGAGAATCACATGCTCGATAATCACGGAATCACGCTGCAGATCCTTCAGGAGCTTGACACACCAATTATTAGCAACGCAAGGAGTTATTGGGCGTAATTATTTTGTCATAACCTGGAGATGTACCAAATTGTAATATTGCTCAATAAGAGAATAACAGAAGTGCCCTACCCCAATATTTTTACCGCAGGCCAGTATATTCTCATAGACAGACCTATGAATTTTTGTAGTTCAGCTCCGTTACGACAGGTTGAATCACCTGCGAGATAGAGCGGGTCGACAGGAGTGCTGTGCCACTTCTATTTGTCTCAACCTGTTAATGAAAAAAAAAAGTCTTTGGCCAGTTTAGTTATTACACAGCAGGTTTAGATATTACAACACAGACATACACAGAATGGCGTTATGTTGGTCGTTGTTTTCAGCGCAACGCTCAGATCTAGCTTTCTCTTATCGTCGGCCAAGGATAACGATCCTAGTTGGCTGGAATTTAGTTTGAACGTGCACGATCATGCATTCCTTCCAGTCGAAGTATTTATTTTTGTAAGATAATACATGGGAACTAATTCTGAGCTTGCGCTAACACCGACCAACAATATTGTGCCTGTGGACACCCACTATTGTAAGGGCAGCGCCAAGCGTAAGTAGGTGGTAGTAAAGAACACAGAGACGAGGCGCATTAAAGTGCATCACGGAACAGCATAAGAAACTTAAGCAAAGTCACACTAAAGCGCGAAACACATGTACGACGAAACCGTCCGATCCGACGTCCGACCGCGCAATACGACGGTCGGAGGCGAGGGTTTTCGTAGCATCGGAGAGCGTTGAAAACCCTCGCCTCCGACCGTCGTATTGCGCGGTCGGACGTCGGATCGGACGGTTTCGTCGTACATGTGTTTCGCGCTTAAGAGCGCACTCCCTTCCGTGTGTCTTTTTTTTTTTGTAGCTCAACTTCTCGTCTCAGGCACTGTGACCCCCCGGTAATTGTTTGATCGTTTAGGCTTACTTTGTCTAACAGTGTGCCTCCGTTAAGAACACAATAAATATTGTTTTCACAGCTTTTTAATAATAAATTCGGTTGTAAAAGTAGGACAGCGAAGCTAGCGCACTTCGAAGCGTCTGTGGTTTATTTGAGAAAAGTAGCTTCCAATGTAAAAGAGGTGCCTGCTAAAATACGGATGTTGCAACATATCCAAATGCATCGGCTTTACATGAATAGAAATAGGAACGACGGATATAGTTTATAAAGTTTTACGTGGGGGGCATTTTACTCAAAAAGCAAGCTGTTTCACCGAGACGTACCTGGAAGAAGCTCTGGGTGGATCCCCGCCTATAAGTGCCGTACTTGATGTCCTTCTGTTTGAGCAGGTCGTCGACGCTGTTGAGGGTGGGCCGGTCTCTGTAACGGATGATGAACTCGCCGAGGACAGACGCGTACGCCACCATCACAATCAGGGAGAAGATCCACCAGGAAATAAACGCCACCACCGTCGAAGGGGCCCTGCAGAGGAAGAGAAATCATGCTTCGTGACGATAGCCTACCCGCAGTTGAAGATTGCTGTCCCTAGAGTCAAATCTGCCGGTTTAGGAACCGACAGAATTCAGACATTTTTTTTATGAATTTTAAGCATTACAACACCTGCGTGATACAACACTGTGCTTTTGTGTCTGGATATAAGGTGGTGTTTTAAAATCCAGTCGAGGAACTGAAAATAGAAAAATAAATTAAGTTGGTCGTGGGCATGTTTATACAGCTTGAAGATAGACTGCCTTCAACGAGCGACTGGACTCTCAGCTGTACATTAGCAATTTAGCCTGTGCAGTACAACTGCTAGGCTGGGGCCTTTAGCGTGCACCGCGCAGTAGTGATACACAACCGCATACCAGTAGGATGCTCGTCCAGACGGAAACGAGCAGGGTTGGGGATTGAACCCGGGATCCTGGGTTCTGCAGCTCTAGCTTTCGCAAAAATGGGGAAACTATTGAACGAAAGAGTCACACGATACAAATACGTCGACAAAAAAATAGCGCATTAGAAAACACTTTATCCAAAAGTTAGTTTACTTATCATCGCTTGGACATTGTAGTTTAAGAACACAGTCCAGAACGAAAGAAATGCGAACGACGGGGCGACGGCCTCTCGCGTTCGTCACACCACCCAACGGTTATCAGCCGAAGCTCTCCCACGGCCTGTGATGTGTTTCGAATATATTGACGGGGCCAAGTGACTGGTCCCTTCAGTAAATACAATTTCCACCGATTTGTTTCAGTTTACAACATGCGGCGCAAAATGCCCTGCCTTCTCCGTGCTGACAATGCGGCACAGACATTTCGAATGTGCCGTTATGACGTCAGTGGCGTACATATAGGGGCACCCATGGCTAGCAGTTATCAGAGCCGTATATGTAGAGACTTTGTTCATTAATTGGTAAGAATAGGGCGAAAACAAGGACACTTCATTGACCGAAATTGTTTCAGTGAACTTAGGCGCGATGTTTGACAGCTCTTGGGACCAACCATTAGCCTCAAATATTCTGCTAGCGGAGGCTGTGAGCTTAACAAATACCAGATAAAATACAAATACAAACAAATAGGAGGGCATTTGGCGGTGCACTGTCAGAGCTGTTTGTGCAAGCCGTCCTTTGAGGAGACCACGCTTGTAGATTGGCACAAGGACAAGGCGACGAGGGAGCTGATAGAGGTTTTTTACATAGCGGAAAGCTGGGCGTAGTGCATCAGCGAGCCGTCGCTAACGCTATCTGCGAAAGAAATGTTTTTAACTTCGACAATGAAAAAAAAAAAAAAAAAAAAAAAAGGGAGGGGGGAGCACGTAACACGTGGATGACCGGTGCCCTCTGTGATGAGGCAAAAGAGTTGGCGCATGTGTAGATTGCTGCCTTACGTGTTTACTTTTGATGTTTTTTGTAATAAAACCTTTGGTTGCGAGTCAGCGCCTGTTCCGTCTTGGTTGTTCCTTCCTTCTAGTATTTTTCGTTCTGCGCTGTTTTACCTATATTATGCTTAGCCTACACCAACTGGTCCAGCTTTCAACTTTGGTAAAATAGCCTCCAATCAAAATGTCTAGGTAAGAATGTATTCAAATACTTAATTTCAGCAGGCTAGTCGAAATTTGCGACAGTTCGTAACCTAAAGGGCAGCGCGAGTGACGTCCTCACGGCGACATTCAGGACGCACTCAAATATCTTTTTAACCGCACTAGCGACCTCGGCCCCGACGCAGTGGGCAGTAAAAACTGCGGATTGGACTCCGTGGGAGTTTTGACCCAAACCCCGAACGGGTACTCCGCATTCGCAGTGTCACTTCATGTTTGAGGAAATGTTTCTCGTCAATGTCACCTTTTCTTGCTCAGTAAACGCCACTCAGCGCCTCGAAACTCCCCTTTTCCACCAACCTGTTACAATTCTACATTCATGTACTTTCAGACTCATTCAAAAACAGGAACTACCTGTGCAGCGTTCCACGAATCCTTCAAGGTTATCCCAGCGCATTTTTACTTCGCAAGTTAATCACAGGAGGAATATCTGGCGCTGGCGGCGTTGCCGCTTTCGCCGCTCAACCACGGCTTCCGCCGGCTCCTCTCATTGAGCAGACTCTCTCTACACACGGCTGTGGTAGTTATTTCGCGTCCCTGATGATGACCACAATGATGATGATGATGATTTTGTGTAAAATCGTGCGTGTCCACGAAAGCGCAATGGCCGTCACTGTATTGTACTATGGTGCCTAGAACGCGTCTTCGACCGGTGTGTTTACCGCGTCCAAAAAGTGGTCCATCGATTGCCGCCTGGTGACGCCATAGAAGTGGCATGCTGCCGCCGGTTGCGATCCTGGCGGCGTCCCATCAGCGGTGGTGTATGGGGAAGACGCCTGTTCTGCTGCAGGTCCCTCTTCAATTTGACAGACCACTGAAGGTTCAGCAGCCAGGAATGGGAACGCCACGACGACAGCGACACTCGCGTTTCTTTAATGCTTTTTGCCCGCATTTCTACGATTGAACGCCAGGATCCCGACATCCGACAGCATGACACTTCGGCTTCTGTGACGTCATTTGTTGCCACTTCAGGACCAATTTGGATGTATGGGCGGGATAGGGCGCTAGACACATCAGTCAGAGTCGCGTTCCAGGCACCATAATTTTTCTGAACACACACGAAAGGAATAGACCAAACAGGATAAGCTTCCGTCAAACCACCTCCTAATCCTCGCCGGGTGCCCATAGTTTGTGGCAAAAAAAAGTTGACATTTAAAAACTGCATTAATTCTAAATAACTTTGAACCACACAGAAGACAAAAAAAAAAAAACATACTAAAGCGGGCACGCTAACAGTTTGATAAAGCACGAAGACTCTTTCCAAACTCGCGAAGAATTGATATGGTTAGCCGCATCTGATGACGATGGGAAGACTGTGGGAGGTACACTCATCTCCATACTGAACAGAGAAGTGAAGGCGTTCTTCAGTTATTGAAACTTCTGGGTCAGCCGTCTTTGAGAGCAACAATCTGCAGTTTAAATTTTTTACACACAGATTACGTGTGTCGACGTCACAGCCGTAGAATTTTACGAAGCTGTAGCATTTCGACTTTAACTTATGCTCGGCGTTACCGTAGCACAGTTCGTCAACATCGATGAAAAAGCCACAGTTGGCATCGGTGTCGTGTGGGAGGGTGAACGTCTCGTCGATTTCTATCTAAAAAACGTTGGAGTTACATTTAATGGCCCTTTGCACGTCTTCTCTAGAATTTTCCCCAGGCATTTGTTTTTCGTCTTGCACGCCATTCAACTTAGATGCCCCACTCTTCGCAGAGTGGGGCGCTATCAAGTGACTCGCTTACCAGCCTTTGTCCTCCACTACAAAAATAATCTGGGAGCGCTTTTTACATCTAAGACAGCATGATGAAATATTATTTTTGAATTTTGCAGCCTTTCTTGAACGCGATATATGCAAACCTGTACCTTGTACTAAAGCCGCGCAAAATCATGAACTTGTAAATCAGCATCCGGCTATGCAACAGTCTAGCGTCACTTCATGATTGGTTGGTTTCATTTTTATTATTTATCATGGCCTGTAGAACTTGAAAGACAAGAACAAACCCGGTAGTCCGCAGTCCTTTACAGAGACGCGACCCTGAGGTTGCGATCCGTTTTCGCTTTCTGCAGCACCGCCAGCAATGGTGTTGTTCTTGGCTTTCCATGACTAAGCATTTCTGCCGCTTTTGCACTACATGCTGTACAAAGCTTCTCAAAACAATGCAGCTACTGCAGTCCGCCAGCGTGCACAAGAATGACGGCGCCCATGGAACAGAAATGTCTCGCCTATATATGAAAGTAGAAAACAGTAAAGCAGTGTCTCCCGAACTGTGAGTCGCAGCCCCAAGGGGGTCGCGCGAAGCGGTTTGGGAATGCGAAAATAAAATTTTGTCTTCTCTGCTGTGACATCGATGATAACAAAGTAGAGGTTGCAGCTCAACATCGAGCCTGAATTGTTAGTTGCGGTGAATAAACTAAACCCTCGTTTTGGAGAACTGTGCATTAGGAAACGAGCTGACTTTAGACGTTGGGAAGAGTAATTTCGGTTGACATGCGTTTTTTTCTATTTTTGTACCATCACTTTGACCTTATCAATTGGAAAATTAAGTTTCAGCATGAATTTTGTGTATTACCGCACATTTAGTTAAAAAAGAGAAAACAAATTGGCTGCAGAAACCACTGTTGTTGGTTGTCTATGAATTGTGATAGCATTCGTCATGAGACTCGCGACGCAGCTTACTGTGAATACGACGAAGCAAGCTTTTAGTAAACGCTTTATTTTATGAATGGGTTACGACGCCATCATTGACGTCAGTGCGACAGAAGCGCTCCACTTCGAAATCGAGTGATTGCTTAGTCTCTGTGTAATCGTTTAATCCTCTCTCTGCGTAATCGTTTAATGCCCAATATATTTCCCCACCATCATTGAAGCTTCCTGTGTGTGTCTTGTCCTGTCCCTCTGTAATCGTTTAATGTTCAATCTGTTTCAGCACCATCATTTACCATGTACCAACTAGCTGAACTCAACTTAATTCACGATGTACCAACTACCTGAACTCAACTTAATTCACGATGTACCAACTAGCTGAACTCAACTTAATTCACGATGTACCAACTAGCTCAACCCAAATTCTCCATAGCACCATCTATTTTCTTCCTCTTCTTCAAATCGTGCCAATATTTGCTGCGTAGATTGGGCGCAAATGTGAACGCGTGCGTACTGCCGCTCCGTGTATGCGCGGCGCGGGTTTATCTGCTTGCTAGGACGACGTCTAGGACGACCTCTGGAGCGATCTCAAAGACGACTCTAGGACGACAAAGGATGTCGTCTTCTAGGATGCCTAGAATGACCTCTAGGATGACCTCCAGGGCGATCTTAAGGACGACCTCTGCGACGACCTCTGAGGCGAACTTAAGGACAACGTCTAGGACGACCTCTGGAGCGATCTCAAGGACGATCTTTAAGACGACGTCGAGGACGACGTCCGCCTACACGCGGCGCCTCCGCTTACGCGTGGCGCAGGCCAGAGAGCGTATCGCGAAAACCGGGTACATTTTTAAGTATTTTAACCAGCATTTTTGTGCATCCGTTTTCAATAAAACTCATGTATACCCTGTGATCGCGTTTATTTTTAGATTTTATTGTGGGGACAATGCCGAATCGTTATTTTTATATGCGCCTGGAACCTATGAATGTGTGATCTAGATTCTTCACTTTTATGATTTTTACCGAAAGTGCTATTTGTTTTTACAGATCTGTTTTTTACGACATTGTTTTCATAAACAACATCATTGTGTGCTAGCATTCTTTATTTACAATTTTATAATGTGTGCGTATTCATTATTTCTTGTGTGTGTATGTGTGTGGGTATCCATTATATATTGTATCCATTACCTGTAGTTTTGCAACTCTTGTGCTGAATGGAACGAAGTTAAACGCTTAGTGGTGTTGCTGTTAAAATTTGCCTCCCCCTCCCCGGTTGGACCTTGGTGCCCAGTCAGGCGACACGATCGCCTTTTGCGCCAAGGTACTATATCAAGAAGTATGTACCCCTCGAGAAAAAATAAACTGATTGACTGATTGATTGAAGCAGTTAACGAATGCTATCGCGTTACAAACACATACGCGTAACACAGTTACGCAATACACGTGATACATCGTAAATGCATTTCCTTACTGAGGTACAAATACATTCTTCAGATGTATCTCGATGCAGAAATAGAGATACTTGAAATTATCTCTAAGGTAGTATCGCGCCCCCTATAATTCAATCTCCTCGTTGCTGAAAACCTTTGTTGCGCATTTTCCAGCCCTCTTTCACAACCTCGGTTGACTGTGAAGCGTGCGTCGATGCCTTGCGGCCTCACCTAGGCGTGATGGTGACCCTCTGGAAGGTGAAGCCGCTGAAGAGGAACCAGAAGGCGTTGCCCAGCGTGTATTCGCTGTCAACCCGAGTCTCGGAGACCTGGTCCCACTCGAAGGGCGACAGGCGCCCAATCAGCGTGAGCAGCGCCATGGCGGCCAGCAGGCTCAGCACAAGGTAGCACCAGGTGGCGGCGCTGAACGGGCTCAGGAAGCTGTGCACCAAGGTCTCGTCCTGCCGGCTCGCCATCAGCCCGATGCCCAGAGTCATGAAGGGCACCGTGAACTCCACCACCGTGCTGCGCTTGGACGTCATCGTGAGCGGCGCCGCCGCCATATCCACTTTCTACACCCCGGAGGAAGAAGCATTCCGTTCTTTGCCGTGCTTTGCAAAAGAACTGCGGCAACAACCGATGCATTCTACACACGACTGCATACGGTTACACTAGGTGGCGCAAGCTTCCGCCCGTTATAAAAGGTACAACAGTTATTTTCCATCAATTCAATCATCCACTGCATGTTTAAATTTAGCGGACGGTGTTCATGTGACGCTATGACGTCACACGACAGTATGACGTCACTTGACACCGTCAAACGGTGTGGTTGTGACGTCACGATTTCCCCGTCAGAAATTTCTGGAGGAATTTCCCGATAAGTTGCCTGACGTAACGTCACGGTCTCGCGTCATCTCACATCATAGGACGTCGCAATTTACTTAGCGGAGAAATTTTACAACCAAGTTTAGTGAAAAGCGTTTCTCGTGACGTAATATGACGTCACTGCCCTATACGAAACAAACGGGACCCGCTGCCATACCTCGCCAAGAATGGCTACCGCCGTAAAAGTCATAGTCGGACACTCATGAGACAGTTTAACGGCTGGACTGGTGAAGGGTTCTACAAAATATGTTGTGTTCTGTAATAAGTAATTACCCATTAACTGGTAAACCAATAAACAGGAAACTATTAAACTGGGCATATTAAAGTTTTTTTCTGAATGTAATTTTTTCAGATAACCAATATTACGAGCAACAGATTAGAACGAAAAAATCTTGTTTCTGTCTGGTATAGAAAGCAAAACATCAAATGATACTACTAATATTTCATTAGAAGTTATAACACATATCTTTTGTCTTTTATTGCCGATACTTTTGAAACATGATGTTTTATAAAAAAAAAAAAAAAAAAGAAGAGGCATCTAAGCACGCGTGGGTCGACAAAAACGTCATGCTCCGATTCAAAATAAGTTGTAACGACAAGGAACAAAAGGAAGAAAATTAAGAATGGCGGGGCATTTTGCCTGTAATCAGTGTTTATTTTGCGAGAAAAAATTAAGCGACTACTGCCAAAGTAATATAGGACGCTATACTGGCAAAGAACGTTCTTAGAAAGTACATATTGTTAGAGTATCACGAGTGACGGAATGTTTTGTGCCTAGATATCCCGAATCAAATAAGAACAGTGAAACCCCTAAAAAATTGCTTTGGTTTTGTTGTTTCGCTTGGTATGAGTTTATTTGTAATAAAATGGTGTGGTTTTATTTTTGATTATAAAGGAAAAATTTCTTCAGAAAAGTGGCACTCCTTTGCACTTTTCGCACTTAAATGAAAAGAGCAGTTTATTTCCCTTCGTTGGAGATAATATATGTTGCCATTTATGCGCATGGTCGGCCAAAAAGCTGACCACGCTCTTAAACCTTTTAAATACCTCCGTTTGCCACAGATACACGTGTCTCAGCAGTTGATACGAGGGCATATGTTCAAACAAATTACTAATGTATGAGTGGAAACCGAACAATCAGTAAATTAGTTTTTCTTTAAATATGTTTTCCAGTAAAAATGTTTGTTCACAGACACTTGAACGTCCAGCATCACAATGTCTGCTGTCCAGGGCCAACCCCCCCCCTTTCCACATAAAATAAGCCAATTTTAGAACTAATGGGGTCATTATTGCGCCGTAGGGTCTTTACAGGAATGCATTTGGATTCTCACTATCTAAACTGAACTCGTATTATCTTGCTTATGCCTCTAAAAAGCCATCTGGCTCCAGTCGCCTTCCATGCTCTCATAATATAAATTGGTACATCTTTGACGCTCTAAGTTGAAGGCGATTGCATAGGGAAGTTTTCACCTGGTAAAAATTTACTACAAATATAATACAGTGTTTCCCCGAAAAAAAATATAGTATTTTTTTTTATTGCAAAAATAGTCAACGTATCGCCCAATGATCAGCATCCATTCAAATGTCGTGCTAGCGGTCCTGCAGATTTGCCAAAGTTTTATTACTGACCGCTATATTATTCAAAGGTTATAAGTGACTTTCCGTAACTTTCAAGGTAAATATAGGGCCCGTCTCACCAGGGGCGTAAGAAGGAAAGGGGGGGGGGGGCTTATGGCGCTTCAGCCCCCCCTCCCAAAATCCCTATAATACACACATGCATTTTGCCCCCCTCCCTCCTACCCCTCTCCGCACTCCAAGTCATGAACATCGCAGCCCCCTTACCCCCTTTACCCCGAAAAATATTTCTGGCTACGCCACTGCGTCTCTCTTAGGGGGCGCCATTCATCCCCATGTATCCGTGAACTTTGTCGGCTGCCATTTTTGCATTAAAAAGTTCCGAGAAAAAAAAAAAAAGAAAAAGAAAACCGCATATAACTCTTTGGACTAGATGCCGAAGGTCTGACGCTTTCGCGTCTTGTCCGAACGAGTGGCACTGCCTTAGATACTAAGCACTCGGTGATGCGTAGTCTATTTTTGCGGTGAAAGCAAAAAAAACATTGCAAATTATTTTTGTGGAAACCCTGTACACATCACTTCTGGTGGCAGAGGGCTGTCTATCTACGTACGCCCTCTACGAGTTCTCCGATGAGTCCGGTCCAGCGTCCCGGAGACACCTCGTAGCCGAACTTCTCAGGCTTGACCAGCTGGAGTTTGTAGTCAAAGTGCAGCACCTCGGCCAGCTTGTCCAGCAGGGACACGCAGAAGCCCTCGAACCGCTGGTTACCCTCGTACTGCTCCGAGCCGTCCTTGAGCATCACGAATGGCGGAGACTGGATCGGCATAGAACACCAAACGTCAATGCCATGGAAAGCTTTTTTCTTTTCTCTTTTTTTTAGATTTTTTTATTAGTTTTTACAATGGGCGGCGGAGTAAAGAGCCTCCAAAATAAGCTGACCAGAGAAACGCTCACCCCAAAATTGACGTACGGGGAGGAAAACTTAACAGCCTTTTGATGGATGGAACGAAAAGTCCACCTACACATATGTGAAACGATTCAGTCTACTTTCTTGCAGATAGCTATACGACATCAAAGTGGCAATTTTGGCCAGCGGGTTCACGATCACGTATGTAAGTGCCAAGAACACAGGGACAAGAAAGTAGACAGACAAGGTTGTGTAAGTTCGTCTGCTCTTCGGGTACCTCGTGCGTTTGCCCGCCACGCGCCAATGACGGCGCATGCCTGAATGCTCATCGTACGTTCCCTGCACGTTCTCTACGTTGACCTTTGTACCAAGGACGAATTATGAAGCACTTGTTCGCCGTATAGACAATTTCCAAAAATCCCCTTCTGCGCGCTGCCGTCTTTGTCTACTGGACCGAGGAACTCGTTCTGATCATGCACACTTGCTATTTTTTACGGAATATCAGACTCCGCAAATGCGACTAAAGTCCAGCGACTCAGCATTTTTGGCCTGTACGATGAGCGCTGGAAAGGTGTTCACACCGTTTTACCGTAGGTCCCAGCCTGCAGTTTTGTAGCCCAGCACACGCGAGTTCGGCACTCCGGAAAGCGAACAGAGCACGGGCCGTACGCGGAAACGCAGAAAATGGCACCGTCCAGGAGCTTGTTCCTGGAACGGTCTTTAGTCACTGCCAGGATGAGAACGGCAATGATATTTTTTTGGTTGTCCGGCCTCCGGCACGCTGTTTTTGCCTCTGGCCGTGCCTTGGCTGCGCGTCAACTTTCGAAGGTTGAAGAAATGAAGCTCCCCATGTGTACCACGATCCTTTGGCCGAAATTTGTGTTTGGCCTGGCCAATCTAGGGCTCCAGAAGTCCCCTAAGAAGCCATGGCATAACCAAACTTGATATAATTTGACCAGAGTTTGGGTATTATGACCAAATTGTCAAAGATGCGTGAAAGCTGCATGGTGGTTTGGTTAATACGTTAAAAATTTGCCTCATGTTGGGCGCTTTGAGAGTTATGTGGCGTCTGACTTGACCTAAGTGAGGCAGTCTATAGGGTTTTTTATAAGAGACCAAGTAAAAAAAAAATACTCTGGCAATAACTGACGCCTTTGAGCAAAACCTTTCTGGGGAAACACGGAGTCCAAACGCAGTAAATTGGCGAAGGAAGAAATCAAACCGAACGTCCGGTTGCTTTCGTAGCCGTGAGCGCTTTGACTTGCTCGGCTGCGCGTTCCTAGGAGAGCGCGCTCATTGTCTGCGTCTGGGCAGGCTCTTAGACGCTAGCGTCCGAGGTACGTTCTTTTCCAGGTTAGCGTCTCGCGTTTCAGCCACACCCTTTATTTTTGTTCGGAACGACAAATCGGTGGTGCTTCGGTAGCTACACCTTGTTAGGCGGAAGTTAGACCCCTAGGACTGCCACACTTAGGTCAAGTCCGGCGTTTCTCTGGCGTTCTGCCTGGGTCACGCTCGAAGTGGGACAACGTTGTCAACGGTATCGGCTGCGCCACACGTTAAAAGGACACAACCGATCGCCTACACAAGACATCCTACAATGCGCACGGCTTTCGTTTTTCGCTTCTTCTGCGTGCAGATGGCACTCGTGTGTTTCACCACGCCAGCGGAATTAGACTTCGCGGGTTTATCTGCCCAAAAAGATTGTGCTGTGCGTATGTGTGTTTAAACAGCCACGGTGCTAGTACGCCTCAGCGGGTGACTTGTCTCTTATCTGTAGATGAGAAATTTACCCAGTGAAGTACAACCACTAACCGGTACAAAACTCATCAGGACCGAAACGGACACGGGGTGGGGATCGAACCCAGGAGATTATGCAGCTCCAGCTTTCGCTCCACGCTCCGAGAAGAGACGTGTTAGCCCATGCAGCATCTGCGGCTGATAAGCTACGAGCCATCAACGGCCAGAAATCGCAACCTTGTCTATCGCCCATCATGGACACCATGCAATCTCAACTGTACGAGAGGCCTGTGACGTCGTTTACGAAATCAGCATCGCCACACGTTTCGCCAACACGTTGTTTGGGCACTGGAGACGCCTTAGAATGAGTACTGCTTACGCGTTTCACTTCGGCGTGCAGCTTAGTAACATTCATTTCCTGGATGCTAAAAAATCTAGCGATGCCTATCTATTGGTGTTCCTGTGCCCACGATTGTTGACTTTGTCCAGAAGTCAGTGCTTAGCTTCGCTGAAATTACTTAATTTGAGCGGCAACATTGAAGAAAGTCCGGGTCAAGATGCGCGATACAAGCCGCTTGACGAAATGTTCGAAGTATTTCAGGAAGGCGGGTCCAGACTTCTTGTAGCCTTCCATAAAATAGCAAAGTAACAACAGCACATGAAACATAAAATTCCTAACGCCTATAACCGTCTTTAAACTGTAGAAGAAAAGACTGATATTTTTGAGAGAGTGAATAACAAACTATGCATGCACTTCACGTCAAGCTCTTAAAGAAGTTAAGAAATATAATTAATCTTTGCCTGCTCGTCTTGACGAGCTTAAAGATTGTTCCCGGCGAGACAATAACATTTTTCATTATATCGATGACTCGCCGTTTGAGCCCTGGGATCAATCTGAGCAAAAAGTATGCTCTCTGCTATCTAACGTTCCCTAGCTCAGGATTGCAGACAACGAAGTCATTCGCGCTCACCGACTTGACGCAATTTTTCAAGACAAGTGTCGACCGGCTCTAGTGAAATTTGCTGCAAAGAATACCGAAGAGACAGTCTTGTTTGCAAAGGCAAAATTTAAAGCACGTAGCGTTTTAGTGGACGAAGACTCCTCACAAGCAGCACGCAACACCCTGAAGAAATTGCTCGAGTTCGCAAGATTGTAGAACACTTCTAGCATTTTTAAAATAATGTACAGGCTTTACTTCAATAGGATGTGCTGTGCTTACAGTCCTTCACGTGACCAAGTTTATGAACTAACTTACATATAAATAATACTAACACCTAATATGCCTGTTCAGCAACAAAAAGAGCTAGAGGTTGCACTATCGTAGCAATCGGGTGCTGCTTTTTTTCCGGAACTTGCTTCCTAGAAAGTCGAAACGTTTCAGTTCTCTTCAGAAATATCCAAAGTTTAATAAAAACAAAGCGCGACGAATTATGCCCTGCTATTGATTCATCGTCTGATATCGTAGTGTTGACTGAAACACGGCTCTGTATTAAAATACGGAATAGTAAAATATTTACATATGATCAGTGCAATGTTTATCAGCATGACCGAAAATCGCGGACAGGCGGAGGCATTCATATGGCTGTTGCTGATTATAGTGAGTGTCAACTTTGTTTCCAATTTAGAACTGGTGTTTATACATTTACAAATAAGCAACCAAAAATTATGCATGTTACCGCACCCGCCCCCTGACTTTTACTTGACTTTTCTTTAGTTGTTTCATGACGCAGTGAACACAATTGTCTCCAGGTTTCCAAACTCCCAGCTGTTTACTTTTGAGAATTTTAACTGCGCGACTAATACTTGGTCTCAAGATATTCCTGTTAGTGTTCCTTATTCATCCGAAGCCAACGATAATCTATCTTAAACCACAAATGTTCTTAATCCTATCTTAACAACATCCTGTAATCTTGTGAAATTGATTTCTTACCTGTGTGATATGAGTGCTATTTTAATTTTTAAAATTTTGGAGGTTACTAAGATCTCCCCTGATATGTCTGCTAAGGGCATTCGTGATTACGCCAAAGCCAACATTGATAGTATTTACCTTTGAAGCGAACTGTGCCCTGTTTAAGGATAAAGTTATGTCATGGAACACCAAGCACATTACTCTTCGTGTTGTAAAATCGGACTTAAAATCACATTGGTAAATAATATCTGAAAATATTGATAAAAAGAAAAAAGCTCTTCTTCCGAGCAGGTGAGGTATCGATGCGCCCCGATCACCGGACCATATGCGATCTTGCGGTTGATAAATGCAAAATTGCTATGAATGAAGCTAAATATATTCTTGTTTTCAACAAAAATTACCGTACAAGCTTACAAACAAACCTAAGCAGTTTTGGAACATTAGCAATCCTAATGATAAGCAAAAAACAAAGTTCAAATGCTGACGGAGATCTATCTTCAGGTAATGATTGTGCTACTCCTCTGAATGAATGTTTTGTTAATGCATTTAGTGATATACTAAACACTAGTTATTCTGCACTTCCTCATTCACATTTCTTGCCGATATTTCTCGTTGTATTTTACTCCGTCGGTCTCGTTAAGATGACAGATAAATTTAAGCCGTATTCGGCATCGGGAAATTATAAGATAAATGCGAAATTCCTTAAAAACACTAAATTGTACTCGTCAGTTATATAGTCATCCCTGTTTCAACAATCACTCAATGATGGTGTTCTACCAAATATTTGGAAAGTAGGGAAGGTGGTTTCAATCTACAAGACAGGTGACTCTTTTCCCCCTATAAATTATAGGCCAATCTTGCTTACTAGTATACCTTTTTAATCATGGAGCACGTCATATCATCAGAGAATTCAAGTTACCTAGATTCAAACTCCTTTTTAGTACTCATCAGGATGGGTTCCGGAAATCGGTCTTGTATGACATGCAGATTTCAGCTTTTACTCAAAACATCCATTCAGCTCTCAATGGGGGATCTCAGACTGACTACATCTCCTTGGGCTGTTTAAAGACACTCGACAATGCGTATCATAAACCTCTACTATACAAGCGTAGTGCTCTCAATATTGATTTTAATATTTTATCTTGGTTAAAGCATTTATTAACTTACCGATCACAATTTGTAACCGTAAACGGCAATAATTCTTCGTCTTTCAGTGCTATAACTCCGGTGTACCACAGGGCTCTGTCCTGGGTTGTTTCTTGTTCTTGATTTATGTCAACGACTGACCAACTCAAGCTTATTTTTATAGGCATATTTGCCGATGACTGCATTGTTTTGTTATTAAATTATTAACGTTACTGAAGTTTGCATAATTCAACCAGATATTCAGGCTAGTGCCTCGTGGTTTTAGATTAAATTAAATACCCACTAGTAAATGCAAGGCTCCCGCAAAACCACAGCTTGCATTCTTTACCACTTGTCAGATAATCCTCTTGAAATTAGGCGCCCGGAAACACGCGCCTAAGAGTTTCGCTCTAAAATGTTCATACCCAGGGCGAGGGCTGTAGAGCAGCGCCGAAATCTGAAACGTGAACCACACGCACGCGGCGGTAACGACTGTAAACTCCGTTTTACTGCTGTTGACACGATGATAGTGCCCACCTTGTTTTGAGCACGGGGATCGAGACGTTGGTAGCTTCCCCACCATTGCTCCATCGAAATATCCCAGTGAGATTTTTTTCTTGGTCTGTTCATAGGCTGGCAAGCCTTGCTCCACAACCGAAGAAAAAGTAGGAGAGACTTTCTCCTATGAGCTTTTCGGCAGTTAAATTTTATGGGAGATTTTCTTCTGAGAGCTTTTATGCGTAATTATGAAGCGAATACCAGCCGGTCTGTTATTAGTTTTTATCGCTCAAACTGTCGCAGTATACCAAAAATATCTAATTATCAAGTCACTGTGTATAGAAATCAACTTTATGTTTCTTCTACCAGTAATATTTCAGAGTCCGCAAGGACAGAACAAACAACAGCCAATCGCCCATATGCCATCACTAGATATACCAGCAAGATCTTTGATGACTTTAGCGGCTTTAGAACATTATAGTGAAGGCAGAAGAGTGTTAATGCAAACAATAATGCAAGACGTACACAGTCTGTGTGAATGATTTTTAACATGGAGCGTGCACAAGAAAATAAGCAGCGAAGTATAAAACTTGGAACACGGCAGTGCACCTGAGCCCTGAACAGGGACAATTTATTCTTGGCGCCACGCAAGTCGGAGATTTCTTCTTACCACAACCGTGGTCACGATGATGGTCCTATTCTCTAGGGAGTTCTCGTCAATGGTGTCGTCCACGTCTTCACTGCCGGGCACCCCGTCGTCATCGTGGGGGTCGTGCACAAAGTCCAGACCCTTCTCGGGGCTCCACGTGGCTACCTAGCGCACCGATAAAAGAGAAGGCGTAAAGGCGCGCTCCCAAGGTTGTGATACCAAGCAGGAATCTACATCTGTATTGAAATAAAGAAGCTTTGATTCCGAGTATTGCCAACTCGCGTTTGTAGCACCGCGGCAAAGAAGCAAAACATAGTGTCCGATTAGAGGGCTATATGCAGCTGTACCGGACCTATTTCTGCAGTTTTCGTCAGTACTAAACCTTAATGCCGACAACCGAGGATTGTGAACTGAACATCAAAATGTGTGTGTGTTTCGCTTAACGATCTGTCAGTGTACTTCAATTATGGGCCGAGCTATATTGGAAGAAGGTTTTTAGCCGAATGCTTTCATATTGTAGTTAGGTGCCTACGTAAGAGACCCTTTTTAAAAGTCCGCGCCATCGCCTACCCGCCATTGCTTGATCGCATGCTCTGATCACATACTGGACACGAGTGCCACGTCTGCATTTGGCGAGGTCTTGGATCCAGTCACACCCTTCGTGTTCAAGCAATGGCGAACCCCAATGTTGCTCGATGAACTTTTTAAAAGGGTCTATTCTCTTGGTCCTCCATCTGAGAACGGCTAGATGGGTGGTTCACTTATACAGCGTGTCCCCCAGGAAGTTAGTGTGTGTGTTTTTTTTTCACCACAAAAAATAAAGTACGCATCGCCGACCACTCATTCTCCACTCAAATGTAGCGCTAGCGGTCCAAACCAGATGCCAATGTTTCAGCACTAACTGTCATCTTATTAAAAAGTTACGTGATTTTCTGAAAACTTCAGTGGGAAAATGGGGCCACTACGCCCGTTTCTGGTAAATGGCGGTGTAAAGCTCCGTGTATTCGAGAGCCTGTCGGCCGCCATTTTTCTATTGAAAATGTAAGAAAATCACGCGTTCTTTTTTTATTAAAAACGGTTAGTGTTGGAGCATTGACATCTTGTTCGGACCGCCATGGCGCTACATTTGGTCGGAGAATGAACGTCCGCCGATGCGTAGTTTAGTTTTACGGTGAAAAACAACACTAACGACCTTGTAAACATTTTTTAAACCACCCTGTACTTTGGAAAGAGACTGTCAAAGATCAGTAGGAGCCCAGCGGTATAAAGTCTACTAAAATGTTTATAGGACGCTGCTTATAATACTGGCCAATAAAGAGTCTTAGATACAAATAAGGATTTCTACGGAGAGTGTTTCCGAGTAAGGTCGAATTGGGCAGAAAGTTTCTCTTGTTACATTCCACTTAAAACAAAATTCACAATAAGAATCTATTTTTCTTTGTTTTCACCTGCGCTAAAACTTAATAAAGTGCACCAATCTTTCTTGAATGATTTCTATTCTTCATCTCTGAACTGGGAATCAGACGCGTGATAAGCAACTTTAGGGGTCGCTTTCGTTCATGATGACTCAAAGGTTTACATTTTCAAATTTCCATGAACTCGCTCGCGTACTTCACACTATCTTGGTGTAGTTGAGCCGCATATTAAACCTAAAGTGCGTAATTTTTGTTTCCGTTTCATTATTACGCAAAGCAGCAAACTAGGACATCAAAGCATTTTCGCATTCTTATAAATAAGCTCCCCACTACTGTTGATCTTACCGTTGTTATGATGGTGGTTTTCTGAACCCTTTTATTAAATCTTGTGAAGTCATGACTCATATTAACAACAGGGCAAGGGCAACAACACGCACACGGCACACACCCAAGATACATACAGGTAACGTACAACTGAATTGTATTTTGAGGTTCTTCTGCGCGATTGCGGAACTGTTTTCTTTTCTTTGTCTTCGCGAGAGGTGCAACAATATCTTTGTATCTCACTGGCGTCTCATCTCTCAGTGTGGCAAAAATTCTAGCTCTTTTTTTGAAAACGTCAAGGGTAGAGCACTGACACGTGTATTTTTAAGCCGTGCAATCTTTTCTGTCTTAATAACCTGTAGTAAGCTTCTGGCTAAATCTACCTATAACAAAACATCGTGTAAAGTCAGCCTCGCACTCGTAGTGGCTACAGTGGAGACCTAAATGTCCGGATATTACTTTTAGGGTATTAGAGTAATGGTCTCTTAACCATTTGTTCAAGCAACGCCCAGTTTGCCCTATATATTGCTTGCTACATGAAAGAGGAATAAAATAAACTACATCGTCTATGCAAGAAACAAACATTCTGCGGTGTTTCTGTGTGCAGCGTATTTGCTGTTTATTATTGATATTGACTCTTGCTTAAACTGGAAAGCTTGTTGGAGGCCGAAAAGACTACATTCAGTTTTTCTTCGTTCCCTATATTCTTTAGTGCATGAGAAGCGTTTTTAACATGGGGCATGAGTAGCACTTTTTAATCTGTCCTTTAACTTTCTGTTAGTGTCACCACCTCGCTTTATATTTTTCGGAATGTTTTCAGCCACGGAAGACAATAGGTAGACACGGCAGCCTGCTGAAACCAGTCTAGAAATTTGAGATTTGAAACTGCATGTAATGAAATACGGGTATGATTTCGTCAAGACGTTTTGAAGGTGTAAATTAACTATGCTCCTCGTAATTAATTTTGTGTGTGCCGACTGGAAATGCAGGAGTGGCTTCTTTCTCTGGGTTCATAAGCCCAACAGACAAGAGTATTAAACAAAATAAGTTGGAGGTCTCAGAATGTCAACGAACCAACACTGTAAGTAACAGTGTGAGTAACCTTGAAAAAAAAAACTGCGAGTAACTGTAACTGTGAGTAACATGAGTAAACCAAAACACGCAAACCGGACTATCCCTTACGGGTGATGGTATCTGAGAGAGGGAATGTGCAAAAAGCTCTGGCTTTACATTTGCAAGTCCAGTTAAGGCTTCTTACGGTAGATAACCCCTTCCCACTGAAGAATTCCACTGATGTCATCAGTTTTCTACACGAGTGCAACGGAAAGAGATACCAAGTCCGCTCTATTGGTATCAAGAACTTATATAATTCCCTACCCCAAGACCCACTTCACACCTATTCCGGAGACTGCATTGGCACCTCCGGGGCAGTGGTGTTCCAGAAGGCCTGTGGAATTTCTCAAAGTAGTTCTTTAGAGTTACTCACAGTGTACCTTAAATTCATATTTGCCGCATGGGACAGCAACATCTTCCGGCAAAATGTAGGGGTCTGTGTCGGATCATGCGCAGCGCCAATCCTTAGCGACATTTACTTTGTGCGCCATGACAGCGTGCTCCTGGATCGCCTAGAGGATTCCCAAGTGGTCAAAGTGTTTCGTTATGTGGACGACGTTTTGATCTTCTTTGATTTTGATAACTGCTCGTTTGACCATTTTGTTCCCACAGTCCTAACCACATTTAAGACCTGCGTAGCACCACTAGAAATCACTCATGAGCTTCCCTCTGAAGGCTCGTTGAGATTCTTAGACCCCCGATTCCTTTTGTTAGATGATCATGTCTGTTGGGCTTACTAACCTAAGGGAAAGAAGCCACTCCTGCGTTTCCATTCGGCACGCTCAAAATTAATTACGATAAGCATAGTCAATTTATGCTTTAAAAATTACACCATCTTCCCGAGGAGAACCATGAGGTGATGCGGAGCATCGCGGGTCGTTATTAATGGTGTTATTAACGGTGTTAGTAACGTTGTTAGTAACGTTGTTAACTTGCGTGTTATTACGTTAGTTTGTGGAGTGGTGCTGACGCTTGCTTGCGCCAACCCACTAACTGTTGCTTCCATCACACTTCATCGGAAGAACGGAGGGAAGTGGAGTCAACAGCGGGTGAACTGAACACGCGCAGCGCGCTAACGCTGCTTATATTCACACTTGAAGGAGAGGAGACTAGAGGAGGAGAGTTGCGCATGCGCGCGCGGTGTGAGTAGAAGCGAACGCACGCGAAGTGCACGCAGCTGGTAGAGAGAGAGAGTGGAGAGAGTAACGCGCAGCTGTTGGAGAGAGGGATGGAGGAGACTTGCGCATGCGTAGTGTGAGTGCGGACTACGACGCCGCGGGACATAGACCCGAGCAAGAGATGCTCCGCATCTAAAACGCCTCGACAAAATAATGCCCGCGTTCCTTCACACGAAGTTTCGAAGGTCAAATTTCTAGGCTGGTTTCAGCAGGCGTATCCCAATTGTCTTCCGTGGCTGAGAACATTCTGAAAAATATAAAACGAGGTGGTGACACTGACAGACAGTTAAAGGGCAGTCGAAAAAAATTACCGACGTTTACGCTTCTCTGTATATTGCGAAATTAAAGCGCAGCTCTTGAGGTAAGTTGATTTTGTGATATACCGTGGTAGAAAATAATATATATATATATATATATATATCTTTGATTTTTTTTTAGGGTAGGCCAGGGTGAGAGAAAGCGCCATAATGCAACGCGCGCGGTGTTTGTTTCAACGTGAAACGTTTTTGGCTAGTTCCTACGGATTTAGTGAAGCCGCATCTCGTGACGCCGTGGCCTGTGACGTCACATGACGTAATAGTTTCTCTGCTAATTTTAGCTGGAAAACTGACGCCACGTGACCACAATACCAATTCAGTTTCCCCGCTAAATTTAGTGGGAAAAATGGCGTCACATGACTCCGTGTGACGTCACCTATGAAGAAATTCAGTTTCCCCCTCTAGATTTAGCGGGAAATTTTACATCACGTGACCTCAACACCAATTCAGTTTCCCTGCTAAATTTAGCGGAGAAAATGTTGTCGCATGACTTCATGTCAAGTGACTCATACACGATGTCGGTTTCCCCGCGGAGTTTAGGGGGAAAACTGACGCCACTTGACCTAAACACCAACTCAATTTCTCTCTAAATTTACCGGGGAAACTGAATTGGTGTTGGGGTTATGTGACATCAGTTTTGCCGCTAAATTTAGCGGGGAAACCGAATGCGCAGTGTTGCAATATGGGGTATCACATACCTATACACCGATTCAGCTTCTTCGCTAAATTTAGCAGAGAATTGAATCGGTGTACAGGTCTGTGACATCCCAAAATCCAACGCGCGCAATCACGGCGACGACGACGCCGATGCCGCTAAAAGCGGAAACGGGCGCCCAGCTGCGCCCTATGAAATAGTAATCATGACCTATACTCGCAACGTTTTGCACGCGCAAAAAAAAAAAAAAAAAAAAAAAAACGATCCGGGATTGAGAAAATCTGAATGTAATCTTTTCGACCCCGAACATTTAAGGTGTCCAGTTCAAGCAAAAGAGTTAATGTCAATAACAACCGGCAAGTACGCTGCACAAAAAACACCGCAGAATGTCTTTCACAATGTAGTTTATTCTATTCCTCCTTCACGGGGCAAGCAATTTATAGGGCAAACTGGGCATTGCTTGAATGAACGGTCAAGAGACCATTAATATAACACGCACATTGTGATATCCGGTCTACACTGTTTCAATTCCGGGTGTGAAACTAACTTTACGCGGTGCTCTGTTATAGGTAGAAGTAGCCAGAGAGAGATTACTGGGGCCGAAAGAATTGCACGGCTTAAAGATGCACGTGTCAGTGCTCTACCCTCGACGTTATCAAAAAAAGAGCTAGACTTTTTGGCACATGTGGAGATGAGACGCCAGTGAGATACAAAAAATATTGTTGGCACCTCTCGCGAAGACGAAGAATACGACGCAGTTTTGCAGTCCTCGTTCCTCGTGCAGAAGAGCCCCAAAGTACAATTGAGTTGTAAGTCAGCGCTGTGTGTCTCTTGGGCGTGTGTTCTGTGCGTGTGTGTGTTGTTGCCTTTCCGCTGTTGTTAATCCATCGCCATCGTAGAACATCCGTAACGCGTGCCACGAGACACTGAGATTCGGGTTGACATGGTGCACGGACATTCTGCGATGGCCAGCTTCTGCATTTAAACTAATAACCATTTGTAAAAATTGTAAATATAAATGTAGTTACATGAACTAAGCTCGCTACAATATGATGCTTATATATATGGCAAGCTGCCATTCTCCCAAACATATGACTACTTACTCAGGCTACTTAGTGCTGTACTCACATGTTCAGAGCGCCCTTTGTGTAACTGCCACAGGGTCAAGCTGTCCACCTCTCTCATGCCGTCCTCATCAAATTGAATTTCCCCCGTGAAACCGTCATACGTCGTCTGTGGAAGGAGCAAGAAACCCAATAAATAAAGCGTTACGCCCATTACGACGTCCAATTTTTGTGGTTATGACGTACGCTTGAGAACAAACTTGTTGATATTGTTTGTTCCCACCAAAGTATATTAATAAAACACGCTTGTTCAAATGACTTCTTACTATTTCACCGTTCTCCTTGATCAAAACGGGCAGACTGATTTCACATTCTGAAGGATTAGAATCTTATGTTTACAGAATCAAGAAATAGATTCAACTCTTACAATTGGTTATGCAAAACGGTGATATAAATCAACCACATTGTAGGGCCTTCAGCTAAGAATTGCAAACAAAAACCAAAGATCTCAGCTGTCTTTATCAAGTAACTGTTAACCACAACCTCAACATAGATCGCACGTTCTCAAGTTAGGGGTAATGCTGTCACATCCACTGAAATTGGTTTATAAACACAATGGGGATGATAATGTATTTTGTTCAAAAATAATATTGCTACTTATGTAAACTTTCTGCGAAATAAAGCGAAAGATTGTCAATGCTTGATCTTCATTCTAAAGTGGATCTCGCCAGATGCTACACGAAGTTGACGACTGGCACGCTCCGACTCTGCTATTATTTATTTTTAGTTGGTTTGACCTCCGTTGGCCCATATAGGCATTTGCATAATTGAGGTGGCAAAATTGAACGATAAAACTAAAATAATTTAAAATGAATACTATACTTCGTCTCACCCTACGATGGACTAAAGGCAAAAGCTACGGACCGCCAGATCCAATCACGAGCCACTTAGAAATTGAGCGGTATTTCGCTTCGATGCACGTATCGGTGCCCGCGTCTTGGATCACTGATGAGGGGACGGGTGGACAGTGGTTCGAATTGAAGAGCACTGAGTGACTCAACAATTTTACGTCACAAAGAAAGCCACGACATATAGGCTCTTTGCAGCGTGGAAGCTATAGAAATGATGTGGCGCTTTTGGATTCGAGCATTATTCGTCCACCCCTAATCAATGTTAAGCGTGTCATAGTATAGCGTGGAACGTGATTGGACCTGGCGCTCGTGGCTTTGACCTTTAGTCCATCGTAGGATGAGACAAAGTATAGGCATTTCCCCGACATACAAACATAATGCTAAATGGCGTGAAGGGCAGAGGTGGCACACCTGAAAGTATTAATTTCTGGGATATGGACAATGTGCTCGGTAGATTGTTCCGGTCAGCGATAGTCAATTGCAGCGAATCAGATTAGTCCAAGGTGTAACCAGTTGAATTTTGAGCGGATAATGTATGCGGGGCAAGGTATGGATTTGCAGCATGCATTTTTTAAAGGAGAACACTAACACCCTTTGTGTAGTTGTGTAGGACATGACAACTTTTGTTCGAGGCAGTAATACTAGTAGGCTCATAATTACGAAAGATGAAGCGGCAGGCTATATTAGGGTGAAATTATTTGATTTTGTTCCCCCGTTATACGGCGAGCAAGTGCTCCAAAATGCGTATTTGGTTCATCGGAATGGAAGAGAGAGCACGCCAATCAAAGGGCAACAGAGAGAAGGCACAGGGAAGGCGCGATGACGAGGTAGTAAAACTCGCACCATCGTTGGTTGAGGTTGGGGGTAAACGAAATCACGTGGCCGCGTTTGGGGGGTAAACAAACGCACGGCGTGCGCAAAAAGCAGACCAACTTGTACCCCGTATTGCTTGTCCGTTCGCGTGTGTCGACCAGAGAAGATTCCTTTTTATGTTTTTCCCCCCTCTGAACAGGCACCCAGTGCTGTAGGCGTTACCAAAAAAAAAAGTTACGAAATACGTTACTTGTTACTCGCAAAATAAAATAACGCGCTACCGACCTACGTTACCTCAGAATAAATGGAAATACGTCACCGTTACCGTTACCGATAAAAAGTAACGCACGTTACATTTATTTATAAATTGACGGTACACCCCCTTCTACATATCATCACATCTCGACCATCCACAGAAGATAGGCATTCCTCAATGTAACAGTACAACTTTTTATAATTCATTTATACCTCAGACCACGGTCTTATGGAACCACCTTCCAGCGTCTCTGGCATCCATATCCGATTCCATCGCTTTTAAACAATGCCTTAACAGTGTTAACTTTTAGCATTTCATTAGTATGTTTTTTTTTTCATTCTTAGGATTGTTGTTTGTTTGCTTTTGATGTCTCCTTGTAACCCACTCCCCTCTGCAATGCCCTCAGGCCCTGAGGGTATTTAAAATAAAAAAAAAAAAAATACAGCGTTTTTTTTTGTTTTTTTTTTTTGCGACAGCGTTTATCTTTTTTTGACATTGGGACAGGGGCGTGAACGTTGCGTTTTTTCTGAAGTGGGACTTTTTGCGTCTGGAAAAGACATGCAAAATATTGAAGGCATGTGAAATGAGTGGAATAAAGAATGGCTTAGCGCCTATACTTGGTTTCAGCTTTAGTCCAGACGCAGCCGACGCTACGAAGTGATGGAACCTGTTAAAAGTGCCACTCACTAGGCCTTTTATGTTTATGATTGGTTCAGCGATGATAGAACAGGTACAGAAATATGACCAGCATCATGATGGTGTGCTTTTGGCGCTGTCTGATTGCACCATCAGCTCGTAGCATCGGCTACGAAAAGAAATGTATGGGCACTTTATTCAATGTCTTGGGAAGATGTAATGAGCAACGTTAATAAGTTACCCGTTACCCGAAATAAGTAACGTAAGTACGTTACCCGTTTATAATTTGTGAATAAGTAACGTACGTAGGTTACCCGTTTATAATTTTAGAATGTAACGAGCACGTTACTACGTTACCTAACAAAGTAACGCGTTACAGGTAACGCCGGTCCTTGTAAGGCGTTACCGCCAACATTGCAGGCACCCCATCGATCCCGTCGTTGCCTCCTCGGCAGGCGCGACCGGCCACCCCTCCGTGTCCCGGAATACGCACGCACCCCTTTGAAGGTGTCCAGGAGCTTTTGGCCGTCCTCCAGAAAGGTGCCGTTGTCGCATTCCACGGCGTTGAACTTGAAGTCGGCGCCGTCTTTGGAAGCGTTGTGCAGCACCTCAGCCAGGACGTGGATCGCGTCGTAGATTAGACCCACCTCCGTCTGGAAAACAAAACAGAACACTTCCGATTGATTACTTCGCACATCTTTGTTCGAATACACGCAAGAATGGCCGAATAAAACTGGATTTAGATGGACAAGACTTCGTTCATCTGCACGAGAGCTGCTGGGGGAATAATGCGTGGCTGGTCATGATCATCTCGTCACTGAGCAACCTGTGATTTTGTAGCAGCATACGATAAGAATAGTAAGAAAACAATCATGCAGTGGTGAACGTCTTTGTGCTAAGCAAGCCTTTATATATTTAATATATCGATAATTAAACCTGATTGCACAATAAACAAAGTTGTACCGTAGAAACATGCGAAGTCTTCTATTGAAAATAAAGGCTCCCTGGCGTGCTCTATACAGACAAGATTGATTTAACTACAGCTCATAATTAATGGCCTCGCAGACAAATTAAAATGCACGAGTTTTAGAGCGCAGCTCTTAGGCGCCCGTCTCCGGCTTGAGCGGCGTCGCCGTCGGCGTAACCGCGCGGTGCGTTATGGCCAATGTCCCATAACGCACTGCGCGAGGGTCACGTGACCCTTCTGGCGTCACCAGGGTCACGCGACCTCACGAGGGTCACATGACGTCACTAGGTTCAGGTGACCTCACGAGGGTCACGTGACGTCACATGATGCCAAGGAAAAGCGAGGAGGACAGGAGGAGGATGAGAGGGTACAGATGAGGGGGAGGGGCATACCGTCCCCTACGTACCCTCCCCTCCTCCTCCTCAAGAGCTGCGCTCTAATTCGCCGCTACTGGAAATTGTAAACGTATTTTTCCAAACTAGAAAAGTCCACAATAACTTTTTTAAGAGCTAAACTTTTATGAATAAAAAAAAAAATAACGCGGTTTACCCATACTCGTCGGTGGATGCAGACTTTTGTTTTAGTCTCGTATAGCTGCCACATTGGTAATGCAGTATTGAATTACTTCCGTATTTTATAAGGACTCTTTATTGATCTACAATGAAATCAAAACGATGCGATGGATACTATAGATTGGTGCATAGATGCAAAACATGTATTTCAGGCATTTATACGAGCAGAAATTTATAAATCGAAAGAAACATTTCGTTTAGCGTGTTCAAGTCGAAGAAATATAGGCGCGCGCGTTTGGTGTTCTGTTTATATCGTTTTGTGATAACATAGCGCGTTCGGTGACTTTCCCTGTGTCTAAAAAGCCCCCAGACTATCGGTACGGTCTTTCAATGTAACGCGAGGTACAAGTAGTTGTCTGTTACTTGGATTATTTGGGAAGCAAACCAGTTCTTTTGCTGGGCCGCAAGGCCAACATCAGTATGAAACCACGAAGTTGTAATAAGCAAAGAAAGGAAAATTACCAAGAGGGCACACCATCACATGACGAAACTGTATATCGCCCTGATGGCCTATGAAACGCCCAAAACTCGCAAATATTTGGAGAAGAGCGCGAAAATACAGGTTAAATTCAAGACGTAGAAAGCATGTGTGAGTTGCCCCTAATGCAGCCTAAATGAACATAACAAGAATAATGCGGTCATTTAGTTTTTTTTTTGCCGGAAACACAATGACGTATCCGCGACCAGTGTATGGATTATTGTTTTTATATCAATTTATATTGTTTTAAATGTTGCAGTGAGTGATTACGACATAATTTCATTAAGCGAAACATGGTTGAACTGCTCTTTTTCATCATCTGATTACTTTCCTCCAGCATATACTGTATTTCGTAGGGATCGGAATTATGAAGGCATGTCGGCGAACTTCGGGGGTGGTGTACTCATTGCTGTTAAAAAACATTTGCAGGCGGTACGGAGATTTGACCTTGAATTTAGCGGTGAATCTGTCTGGGTGGAAATAACTTTTGCCGGCTCCAACTTGCTCATTGGCACGTTTTACTTCCCGCCGAGCCTTGATGTCACCGGATTTTCGGAACAAATGAACCTGCTTTGTGATCAATTAGACGTCGACAAATACCGTATTCTTATTCTAGGAGATTTTAATGTCCCTGATATAAACTGGAATTTAGAGCACCCTTTCTCATCTTCTGGTTGTGTAACATCTAAGGCGAATACTCTACTCTATTCTGTGAACTATTTAGGATTGAATCAGTTAAATAGTTTTCAGAACCCGGCGGGAAACGTACTGGACCTCGCTTTAGTGAACTTTCATGTTCATACCCTCGTACCGGTCTCTAAGCCCCTTGTTCCCCCCGATGAGTGGCATGTTCCCTTCTCCGCTTCCTTCAACGCTTCCTTCAGGACATCAAAGCATACAAGCTATGAATCATTCGCTTTTAATAGGGGTAATTATCTTGGCCTTTTCAGATTTTTAGATAGCGTTGATTGGGCACCAGTATATGAAACAACCGATGTAAATTGCGCTGTTGAGTTACTTACTAACTGTATTACGAACGCCATCGAAATGTTTGTTCCAAAAAAGTGTCGTCACTCATCCCGCTATCCTCATTGGTTTTCGCACGAGCTTAGGTCCGAGCTTAGAAAAAAACTGCACTACCATAGGAAATATAAGGTTAAACAAACACAGTTTTGGTATAATAAGTTTTCCAAATCACGAGCGTTAGCTGAAGTGTTAATCAAGAGGGACAAAGAATCTTATCGAGAGTCAGTTGAACGCAGCTTAAACCGCGACCCCAAGTATTTCTGGCGGTATGTCAATGATCGCATGACCACGTCCTCTCCTGCGATAAGCCTATGTGACGCATCTGGTAAAGTGCTGAATGAACCTGCATGTGTGTCAAATGCATTCGCTGATTATTTCGAATCTGTCTACTCCTCAAACCAAGCTACGCCATGAACGCCAGATGATAGTAGCAATTTTAATGATAACCTCTCGATAACGTCTTTTCAAAGCGCTGAAATCGAGATTGCGATAAATGTCGTGTGTCTCGCGGCACGATGAAGAAAGTGACAGCCAACCAAGTAGTTCCCAGCAGAACAACCCCCAGCCTTTATTCCGCGCGCGTATATATCGCCAACCGCCGTATCACTGATAAGCGGAGAGCGAGGCGAGTCACGTACGCAGGTCAGATAGTGAATGACAGTCAGTGATGGTACAGCAATATTATGATGATGCGGTCAGGATGACACCACATTTCCCCTTTTTTCTTTTTTTTTGCAACAGTTGAACTATATTGCCCCCAAAAACAAACAGTGGAACACCTAAAACAAACTTAGTGATGCTAGCTACACCCATAAAATTGCGGCCTTTTCACGGGTCGACCAAAACGCGTGACGTACGTGCCCTGTGTACCGCTCTCTTCTTGAGCTGCTGAGTCAGAATTGAGCGCGGAAGGCTCTGTCAAATTCGCCTCGTTTTCTGACTCTCCATTTTCCCCTTCCCCGGAATCCTGCGGAAATTCATAGAGGGAACCGCTTGTGATGGAACCGCTTGTGATGGAACCGCTTGTGATGGAACCGCTTGTTTCGTGTGCTGGTTCCTTATATAGTACCAGGCCTCGGCGGTTCCTCTCTAGCTCTGCTCCTGTTTCTGTTTGCACCATATAAGACCTTGGCCGGGAGGCTGGTCTCAAAACCGTAGCCCGGGCTCGACAGTCCTTCACCCACACCTGGTCTCCAGGTAGCAACCGTGGAAGTGGCCTGGCCGCATGGCGGTGGTCGTAGTCGCGCCTTTGTTTGTCACGGAACGCCTCATCCTTCCTTCTGAGGCTCGCAAGGCCTCTTGCGGTGCACGGCGTCAACTCTTTAGGGTGCACAGGTAGCGTAGAGCGCAGGCGTCTGCCCATGAGCAATTCCGATGGGCTTTTTCCGAGAGGGCCTGGGGTGCTTCTGTAAGCCAGAAGTGCCAAGTATGGATCCGCCGATTTCTCTAGCAGCCTTTTCACTGTCTGAACTGTGCGTTCCGCTTCTCCGTTAGATTGCGGGTACCGAGGGCTCGACGTCACGTGACAGAACTGGTAGCTTTCTGAGAAAGCCTTGAACTCTGTAGATACAAATTGACTACCATTATCAGTTACAATAAGCTCTGGAATACCATGTCTGGCAAAAAAAACTTTTCAATTGCACAATGACAGCGGCAGATGTCGTTGACGACAGTAGCGCGAGCTCAGGGAAACGTGAAAAATAGTCAACCACAACGAGGTACTCTTTCCCCCTAAAATGAAAAAGGTCTGCACCTAGCTTTTGCCACGGCAGAGCGGGGGTTTCTGAGGGCAGCATCGGTTCCGCTCTTTGAACACGGCGCTTTGCACATTGAAGGCAGTTGTTCACCACAGAAGCCAGCTCCGAGCTGAGACCGGGCCACCAAACCGACTCGCGAGCTCTAGCGCGACATTTGACAATACCCTGATGACCTTCATGCAATGAAGCCACAACTTCCTTTCTGAGTTTTTGAGGAATCACAAGGCGAGACTTATACATTAGCACGCCATCACAAATCGTAAGGTTCGCTCTTTCTGACCAATAAGGCCTTAACCAACTGCTCACAACTGTGAAGCGTGGCCAACCATTGCGACAGTAAAGCAAAAGTTGTTGGCATGAGGTGTCCTGCTCTTGTGCCAACCTTATTTTGTCGAGGTGCGCCGACAGTCTCAATTCACTGACGCAGCCGGCTACAAAACTAGAAACGTCCTCAGATGACAGTTCCCCCAAAACAAAATCGGTTTCTTTGCGGGGCGCCCGAGAGAGGGTGTCCGCAGTAACAATCTGCTTTCCGGGTACGTAACAGATTGAGAAAGAAAAACGCATGAGCCTTAAGCGAAATCTTTGTACTCTAGGCGGAAGCATATCTACCGGCGATTTCCCAAGAAGCGTCACCAGAGGGTTGTGATCAGTTTCAAACTGAAAGTCAAGACCCTTCAAATAACATTCCAACCGTTCTGCTGCCCACGTCAATGCCAGCGCTTCTTTTTCTATTTGAGCATACCGCTGCTCGGTTTGCGTTAAAGAACGAGAAAGATATACAACTGGCCGTCTTTGACCATCTGGCTGCACCTGCGCCAATACAGCGCCGATCCCAAACGATGATACATCG